AACAGGTAGGGGAGAGTGAGGCGGCCTAGCGTGGCAGAAGCGGGTGAGGAGTAGCGGGCAACTACAGTGGTGTAGAGGTCCTTAGCAGTCTTGCACTGGCCGAAGTGCTCGCGCTCGTCTAGCGGCAGGGAGTTGCGAATAGCAAAGCGAGCGTGCGCATCACGGGTCTGCCACTGGGAACGCAGAGTGCTGTCAGCAGACGAGTCAGGGGCAGTGGCATGGCCTAGGGCATGGTCGTACAGTGAGATATCTTCCTTGGCAGTGAGCTGTAGGAACAGGTGCAGGTCATCGAGCCAGGTTTCGAACTTCACTGGACGGCCCTCGGCATCGAAAGCTAGAACTGGCGGACTAGCCATAGTGATAGTAGCAAGTAGTAGTAGTGGCAGTAGTAACAGTAGTAGTAGGAAGCGTGGCAGCAGGAACTGCAACGGCGCACTGGTGGCAGCTGCAGTGGTAGCAGTGTGCGCGGTAGGTAGAAAAGAAACAGCAGTGAGATCGAGTGCCTCGCGGGCAGCGGCTGCAGAGGCGCACGGGCAGCAGCGGAAGCAGCGGCGTACTAACGGCTGCGAGCAGGCGACGAGCGGCTGCGGGCGGGCAGCCGCTGCGACGGCGGGCTGCGGGCCTGCGGGGCGTGCGCGAGCGGCAGCGGCTGCTGGCCTGCGGCGCACTAGCGGTAGCGGGCGACTCGCGGGCGGCGGCTGCAAAGGCGCACGGGCGGCAGCGGCTTATGCGCACGGGCAGCAGCGCCGACAGCGCACGGGCGGCTGCAGCAGCGAGCGGTGCGCAAGCAGCAGCGGCAGCAGCGCACAGGTGGCAGCGGCGTCGGTGCACGGGCGGCAGCGGCGTCGGCGGACGGGCGGCTGCGGGCAACGGGCGTGCGGCAGCTGCGGCGGCGAGCTGCGGGCCTGCGGGGCCACGGCGGGGTGCGCGCGAGCGGGCGACGGGCGGCTGCAGCAGCGGGCGCGTCAGCGAGGCGCACGAGCAGCGCGCGGGCAGCGTGCGGGGCCGCGCGTAAAGAAAAACAGCCGCGCGCGTGCGGCTAGCGGGGCGCGCGCAGCGAAATCGACCGCGCGCGGGCGGGTAGCGGGATGCGCGCGCAAAAAAAAAAAAGTCGAGTCGCGCGCGGGCGGCTGGCGGGCTGCGCGCGCGCGGTAGGTAGGAGGCGCACGAGGGCGCGTAGGCGCACGAGGCGCACAGTAGGTAGGTAGGTAACGGTGGGCCCTAAGAACGGTCCTAGCGAAGGACCTGCTCTGAAACCATGTCAGTAATAACGGACTGGAATGATGAACTAACAAGGATTGTGAGTACAAATATGAAACCCTAATGCTGTGACCCCCCTATAGGCTAACCCACTACAGCCTACACAAATACAACATGTATAATGTTTGACATCTCCCGTGGTACAGCTTGAATTCCTGGGTTGTGCTGTCTGCTTCAAGGTGAATGCCTTTCGCCATCAGTTGACTGACGCTGAGTAAGTTGTAGCCGAGGCCTTCTGCAATTAAAACCTTGGACATCTGTAGAATGACGTTCGTTTCTCGTGACTGAAGTTGAACAACTCCTTGTCGTCGTGTGCGCAGGTTCTGATTGTTGGCGACGGTGATGACCACCTCTCGTTGAAGCTGGTATTCTCGTTGTACGAAGCGTCCTGAGGAGCACATGTGTTGTCCGCAGCAACTGTCCAAGAACCACGTGTCCTTCCCGGATGGCTCGTTTTGGGCTATGGCAGCGTATGTCGGGTTCGGCTGAAGTGACTCGCGGCGTGGTGTCGTTTCGTCGAGTTGCTCTTCTGGTGAGTAGTACGGTGGTGATTCTGTGATGCAAGAATCGTTCAGTCTTGCCATGCAGCTAACGATGTTTCTTGTTCCTTGCGCAGGTTGTCCCGTTGGAGTTGTTGAAGATTGGAGCTGGGTCGTTGGATTCGCCTGTGTTGATGCGACTTGATTGCTTGAAGGTCGTAGCTGTCGCTGCGGAGTCGTTGACTGTTGTCGATTCGGGCAGTGCGTGCGCGGGTGTCCTGAAGTCTTGCAGATGTGGCAGAAAGGAGGTACTGGCTTCGGTTGTTGCTGTCGATTGTTGTAGTTGTTGTGACGTCGTTGAGTGTGAAACGCGAACTCTGATGTTGTCGTCTTCTTTCTGTGTCGTTCTTCTTGCAGGTCCATGTCCTGCTGCTCGGCGTGGATTTCGGCGCAGAGTGCTGCTTCAGAAATTCTGCCGTGGGCTCGGAGGATAGCTTTGGTGGCGCGCCATTGGGGACCGAGACCACCAATGATGACTGTCACGAAGGCGTCTTCAGAGATTGACCCTCCGCATCGAAGAAGCTTGTCGCGCAGTTCCCGACATCGGCTGATATACGTCATTCCCTTTTCTCCCGGTTTCATTTCGACTGTTGTCAATTGCGCCATTAACCTGCTCTGGTTTACACTGTCTGTTGCTTGGTACAGGCTCTTCAGGTGGCTGTACGCGAGCTCAGCGGAGTTGCCGTAACCCCGGTAAGAGCGTATGTTTTGCTGCTGAGTTGGTGTGACGTTCCTCAGCAGAATCGTATACGCCATCATCGATTGATACGTATACTGCTGCTTCTCATACTGTGTGCCGTTTGCTGGATATTGCAGGGACCCGTCGAAGAAGCCGAGTATCTGCGCGCCTTCCATCATTAACTCGAACTCGAATGACCAGGTGAAGAAGTCCTTTCCGTCGAAGGGCCTTGATGTCTGCAGCTTTAGAACGTGCGCGAACTGTGATTGCACTTGTAACGCGTCCAGTGGTTTATCTTGTCCAGGTGAAGGCTGCGGCATGAAGCTGATCGACCCGCGCTCGTACGGGGCGAAGGTAGGTTGCTGCTGTTGGTTTCCGCGCGCATATGACGACCCGTCAAGACTCATGGGTGTTGCCCTGTTGTTGTTGTTGCTGTTGTATGACTGTGCAGGTCCCGACTGCTGGTGCTGCTCGTAGAAGGACATGAAGGAGAAGAACTTCTCCATCATGTTTTGGTCGAAGCTGGCGGGGTGATTTACGGGAGTTTCAGTAGATGTTCCTCTAGGTCTTGTTGCAGTGCCCTCCTCTGTCTGCAGGCCAGAGGCAGGAGGTGGAGTAGGAGTAGTGCCCGGGGAGCCGTTGGAGGAGCTCCTTTCCTTGTTTGTTGCCATGTCTTGTAATGACTTGATAGTAGTGGAGTTTCCCCTGTTAGCTCTCATACCATGTTGGGCTGAGAAAAGCCCTTAGGATCTTTGCGGGGGTAAAACTCCGGTAGGACTATGTAATAGCGGAAGCGTATTAGTGGAGAATTTGTGAACCACCTTGCGCTGGTATGTGAGGGCAAAGTAAGTTGATTATAGCAAAGGGATACAAGAATATATAGAAGATTACAAGGAATACGAAAGGATATAGTTGTAACTACTTTTGCTGTTGCGGTTCGATACAGTGACGACTCGGGCAACTGCTCTGTAACGAGTCAGTTGTGTGTCCTTGCTGTCGCGCTGCACTTGTCAGGTCAAAGGTCGCTTGACCTTTGACTTTCGCGTAACCTCCAGCAACCTCTTTTAACCTCCGAGGGTTGACTCGCGGGTGCTTCGATATGGCGTGCTTCGCTTCTGGTGTGGTGTTTCGACACGACAGAGGCGTTTACAATTTATTGTTTCCAACACCACATTCTACTTTCCAACCTTCCTTCTTGCATGCTATATAAACCTTGCTTGTATTCCCTCACATAAACCAATTCTCATTCAACTCTCTTTCAATTACTCAGTAACTTCTTCGCCTATTTTGCCAATAGTCTTTTCGCCAAAGCCTTCCGCCGCGCTTTATCCTCGACTTAGTCGACCCCGCTAATTCTTTAGCGGACTTAGGCCGTCGGGCCTAACACCTCACAGCTACTTGATACCGTACATGCTTCACTCAATAGCAGGTATACGTTGCGCAGGTAGGAGGCTGGATTTCGCTCTCTGCTCGAATTCCAGCACGCGGACAGGTGGGGAGTCGAAGCTTAGTTAGAAAGAACATAACCCAACCGCGTGTCACGCGACACGTGGCACCAGAAGCTGCGGCAAAGAAGCCAAATCCCGGCAGAAAGAGGCGGAACTCTTTCTCCGCGTCCGCTTTGCCCTCTTCTTTCTCCCCCTCTGCCGCTTCACGCGCCGACCCAGTCGCAGCCTCTTCCTCCCCCTCCTCGTCCACCTCCCGTCCCTCCTCCCCTTCCTCCGCGTCGCAGTAGCGCGTGGGAACCTCGTCTGGCGGCACCTCGCCTTCCGGCGCCTCGTCTGACGGCGGCGCCTCCCCTACCGGCGTCGCATCGCGCGCGTCGTGACGTCTTTCATCACGACATTCTCGTCCTCGACGGTTTCAGCTTTCCTCTTTTTCGAGTTAGTAGCTCCAGGCTCCAGTGTCACCGCAGTCACCGCCGTCATTACCGGCGGGTTGCTGTGTCACTGCCGTCACTGCCGTCACTGCCGTCACTGCCGTCACTGCCGTCACCGCCGTCACTGCCGTCACCACCGGCGGGTTGCTGTGTCACCGCCCGGGCTGCTGTTTCTCCATCTCCGCCACTTGAGTCCTCTTCGACCCCCGCGTCTTCCCCGCTTCCGCCTTCCCCGCTTCCGCCTTCCCCGCTTCCGCCTTCCCCGCTTCCGCCTTCCGCCTTCGCCGTTCCCCGCCTCCACCTTCACCCCTTCGCCGTTCCCCGCTTCCCGCTTCCACGCTTCCGCCTTCTCAGCTGCCACAGTTGCTTCGGGCAGATTCAGACGCCAAAAGCAGGTTCAGGCGGAAAGGCCGGGTTGCGACAGAAATTGTGGCAGAGAAGGCGAATCACGGCAGAAAGAGGTGGGGGAAGGGCGAAGCGCGGAGGGCGACGGCGGGATCCGCGGGAAGAGGGAGCAGCGCGCGCGCGAGCGAGCGAGCGCAGCAGGCAGGAAGAAATCGGGACGGGGATGTCGTTCAAAGGGCCGCGCAAGGGGTTTCTGGAGGTGTTTAAATTCGCGTGCTACGTGGGCATCCCCATCGCCATGATGGTTACTTTCGCCAACAACCAGGACAATCTCGAGGCCATCATTCGCAATGTACGTGCGTGGTGTGGCATGTGCATCATGTAGCAGACATGTGTGTGTCCGTCATCAGTGTTGGATTGGTGCTACGTGGGTATCCCCATCGCCATGATGGTCGCGTTCGCCACCAACCAGGACAACCTCAAGGCTATCATCCGCAACGTGAGGCGTTGATGCAACGCGTGCGTGGTTCAGCTTTGGTAGTATTTATGCTTGCGAACTCTAGTAAAAGCCTCTTCTCGCCAACAACCAAGACAACCTCGAGGCCACCATCCGCAACGTCAATGTGAGACTATCATGCGCACGATGCAGACATGTGTGCGTGCATTGCGGTAAACGTGCATTGCGTAAACGTGTATGCGTGTATGCGTGTATGCGTGCGTGCGTGCGCCTCTGGCGAAAAACGTGCGTGGCATGGGTCAGGTCAGGTGATGACCGTGATGCATGGCACGTGAGCGTGAAGCTTTCATGTAAACCCCGCCCACTGCTTATTCTATAAGGCTAAGGAAAAGGCCTTCAACCCCACATGCACACCCCGCTAATCCACCGTCCCACCCCTCCCTCCCCACTCTCCCTCCACCCACCCGTGCAACCCCTCCTTCCCCTTCTCCCCCTCTCACAGAGAGCATACGTGATTTACCCCCCTGAGGGCCCTCGCCCGCCCACTGCAGAGGAGGTGAGGGGGCTAGCGCAGAGGCGGCAGCAGGGGGAGGGGAAGCAGGCTGAGGGGCAGTGAGAGGGGAGTGATGCGGAGGCAACAGCTGCAGCAGCAGGAAACAGCAGGAGGGGGAGTGCTTTAGATTTAAAAAAACGACAGGAGAAGGGGCAAGAGGGTGAGAAGAGGCACAGGGCGGGCAGGGAAGGGTGGAGAGGCGCAGAGGGAAGCAGGTTGGCAGGCAGCGATGGGGGGAGGGGTGCAGAGGGAAGCAGAGGGTCAGCTGCTGGAGAGGGCGGAAGGGGGGGGGAGTCACCAGACGCCAAACCCTGGGCGAGGCGAGGAGGTGGGGGTGGTCTGGCGAAGGAGTGGGGGTTCTGGCGAGGAGGTGGGGTTTCTGGCGCAGATGTGTCAGCAGCAGGCAGAGAGGAGCAGGCTGGGTGGCAGCGAGGGGTGGAGGGGCGCAGAGGCAGCAGCAGGGCGAGGCGAGGCAGGTTGGAACTTGGAGGTAGTGAAAGGGGGAGGGGCGCAGAGGGGTAGCAGGTTGGTGGGCAGTGAAGGGGGGGGTGGGGCACAGACTGCGCTGCGCCGCACAGTAGACGGCAGCAGGGTAGTGGGTACAGTAGACAGCAGCAGTAGACGCATAGATGGTACAGTAGGTCTGATGGGGGAAAAGAGGGCTCTATCTAGTATGGGGGTAGGTGGAGTTTCAAACAAGGAAGAGTGGTTGGTTGGGAATGAGATGAGTACGGTATATACGGTATTGTACTATGAACTTCACATTGTGGGAAGGAAAATGATTTTGTTTTTGCACTGTACACTGGCAAATGTATTTTCTTACAGTTGAGGTTTCTGAGAATCAAGAGGAAGAAGAAAAGTGAATACAGGTAGAATCGTCAGAAAGGTAGTTACTACGGCAAATGGATTTAAGAGACAGCCATAACATGCTAGTGCATGTCCTAGAAAAGCCTACAGAAGTCAGCATATTCAACCGGGCCACGACCACCAACAGAGATCCATAAAAAATTAACACAAAAGACAACTACCCCTTCAACCACGTCCCCCCATCATCCCTACCAGGCAACCACACCCCTCCCTCCCGCCCCCCCCAATCAAACCCAGTTAGCCCTATACCCAGTTAGCCCCAGCACTCAAGCCTACCACCCAGCCGTAAACAGCAAACCCATGCAGGCCACCATGTCAAGTCATGTCACATCGGATCATGTCATGTCACAGCATCTCAACTCTCCTGCTCAACTCCTTCCCACCACCACCCAGCACTCATCGTCAACTCCCTCCTGCCACCCTTCCATGTCGAAACCCCTCGCCTCGCTTCACACAGCGCGCCTCAACAGCGCTTGAGCATGAGCAGGATCGCATAAGGAGTTTTTGAGACGTCTCAAAAACAGCGCGCCTCAACAACGTACGAGCATGAGCAGGATCGCATGAGGAGGAAAGTGCTTTCCTGCTCATGCGAGCAGTGCCAGCTCTCTCTTGCGCCGCTTCTCCCTCGCCGCTGCGGCCTTCTCCTCCTTGGTCACACGCGGGGTGTCCAGCCACCTGCAGGGGGCAAGGGGAGGAGAGGTGGGAGGGAGCAAGAACATTAAGGTTGCTCTTGGACAATATCCAACCTTGTAGGAGAGATCAGATTGCTAAATAAAGAAACCGATTTAACATACAATAAAGAAAGAAAGAGAGAGAAAGAAAGAAAGAAAGAAAGAACGAAAGAAAGCAAGACAGAAAGAAAGAAAAATACGTAATAAACCCAAATACCACCCCTGTTTGCATGCCAATGTGCACCTCTTGAAACTCATACTTTCAGGCCGCTTTTAGCTAAGTTCACAACTGAGCGTGCTTAACACCCAGACTCCGACACGTAAAACCATTTTCTCAGTCCGAATAACTCAATCATTCACGGAACGATTTTCTCTCACCTGAAGAAATTGCACCGCGTGACCTCCTTCTTCTCCTCCGCCTCGTCCCCTTCCGCCGCCGCGTGGCGCGCGCCCTTGCGCGCGTGGCGGGGGCGCTTGAAGTGGCGCGGCTGGTAGTTGGCGCAAGTCCAGTACCGCAGCCCCTTGTTCTCGTTCGCCGCCGCCGTCACCGTCCGCACCACCGCCAGTCGCTTCCGCGTCACCTTCCCCTTCCCCTCCGCCTTCCCCTCCCCCTCCGCCTTCGCCTCCCCGTCTCCGTCCTTTTTCTCCGCTTCCTTCGCTTTCTCCGCGCCCTCTTTGCCCTCTTCTTTCTTCCCCTCTGCCGCGTCACCCGGCGACACAGCCGCTGCTTCCCCCTCCGCTTTTTCCTCCACCTCCCGCCCCTCCTCCCCCTCCGCCGCGTCGCAGAAGCACGTCGGGCCCTCGCCTTCCGGCAGCTCGCCTGTCGGCGGCGCCTCGATTACCGGCGGCGCCGCGTCTTCCTTCGCCGCGGCATTCTCCTCTTCGACGGTTTCAGCTTTCCTCTTCTTCGAGTTGGTGGTTTCAGCGTCACCAGCGGCGGCTTGAGACCTCCGCGACCTCCGCGTCTTTCCCGCTTCCGCCTTCGGCGCTTCCGTCTTCCCCGCTTCAGCCTTCTCCGCTTCCGCCATCTCCACGTCAGCCTTCCCCGCTTCTGGCTTCTCCGCCGCCTTCTCCGCTTCCTCTTTCCCCGTGTCGGCCTTATCAGCTTCCTCCTTTTCCGCGCCCCCATTTTCTGCTGACTTTGCTTCCGCCTTCTCTTCCGCCTTCGCTTCTCCCTTATCTTCCGCCTTCGTTTCCGCCTTGTCTTCCGCCTTTGCTTCCGCCTTTTCTCCCCCCTTTGCTTCAGTTTTCTCTTCCGCCTTCGCTTCCCCCTTTTCTTCCGCCTTTGCTTCCGCCTTCTGTTCCGCCTTTGCCTCTCCCTTCTCTTCCGCCTTTGCTTCCGCCTTAGCTTCCCCCTTCTCTTCCACCTTTGCTTCCGCCTTCTCTTCCGCCTTTGCTTTCTCGGTTTCCGGTTTTTCCGCGTCCACCTTCTTCGCCTCCGCACCCGCTTCTGCCTTCGCGGCTTCCGGCTTAGTCGCTTCCGCTTTAACGGGTTCCGTTTTCTCAGCGTCCGCGATTACAACAGTCTCGCCATTCGCTTGCGGTTCCCCTGCATTATTCCCGCCTCCGGCAGCCATCCCCACTTTCCCGGCTTCCCCGCCGTTTGCAAGCTGATCGTCTGCTTTTGGAGTGTCCTTGACAGAGCTACCGGGCGCAGCGTTAGCTGCGGCAGTCGAATCGCCAGCAGCGCTCTTGCCTACCTTCGCTGCATCTGTCTCTGCAGGTATATTCACTTTCGCCGCGTCCACGTTCGCAGCCATAATCCCGATACTAATCGTTGTGCGGTGCGGTGCGGTGCGGTTCCGTCGGAGCTTTCAAGTCGAGAGCCGAAACAGCTGGAAGAGAGGGTCGAGAGGAGAGGGTTTGAAGCATTTCACGACAGGGACACGAAATGGACATTTGTGGCTGCGGAGGGGCAATTGGGGAGGGGGGCAGCGCTACAGTGGCTCCAAAAAGGCATTCGAAGTTTGAAAACTCGAACCTCGAAAAAGTTCCAGAGGGCTGTACGCGCTAATGGTTTGCTCTCGTGGTTTCAGCTGCGATATTATTCTGCATTGTTTAGTATATACTCCGTAAAACACGCAGGTTTGACTGCAGTCGGACACGTGTCGATCTTTTATGGAAGTCACGGTGACTGTAACGTTTGGTCTCGTTAAAGGATGCCATGATTCTGACACTAGGGCTAACGGTAGCAGTCTACTGGATGAGTCAGCCAATCGAAACTTTTTAGGGCGCGCAACGGATACAGTATCGCATGAGTCATGACTCACGACCGATAGCTCCCCGTGATTGTGATGGAACCCCCGTATCGCGAACTCCTATGCCATCGCTTCAGTCACAATTGACTGAGTTGCTGGCTTACCTGGTGCCCCTTGAGTATCACGTTTCCCTAAGAATACACTCCTATTTTTCCGGATAGAATGTTTCTAGTAGTTATCCAGCATTGAAACGAGGCAACAGTGAATTTTGTCCTGAGTTTTTTTATTTATGGTCCCGAAACAACAAGAATGCAGGCGAAAATCGTGGTCAACTTTACCTTTCACTCTTTTTATGGAAAGTTGGGGGCGCAACGAAAGAGGGTTGCCAACTCTGACAGCCGAACAAGCAAAACATGTACAGCAAGCTGAAGGGGGGGAGCCATGGATGAACCACAAAATACCACCGCACAGAAGCCATGGCTGTCTAGGCTCCGGAGTCTGGACTCACATTCAACGAGCGACTGTCGGTAGGAAGGCCTATGCCATAATCAAGTTCTTCTCATTGGCCTACCTTGAAAACGAACAACCCCCTTCGGAATCTGGTGTCGAGGGTGACAGCCGAGAAGTCGTGACGCGTGAGTCGTGAATAGATTAATCCCGTCGCATTCGAGTAACACGAGCGACCAAGCCTACTAAGGCTCTCGCTGCTCAGTTCGTGGTGTGATGCCCATGGATCAATCTGCATCGCAATGAATTTCGTCAGATATTCTCGCTGATATAAGTAATAATGAGACGTTCTAAGACTCCTCAAAACCGTATTTTAGCCATCTTTCACAACCCGCTGTAATCACCATTGGAGCTGCTTCTCAGAGATTCTCAGCGAGTCACCCCTCCTTGAGCCATCCATCATCAGCGTCCTCCTCCCTCTTCGCCGCTATACTCTTCGCATACAATCCACTACAGCTCATCATCGATCACTGATTTTACCTCGCCGCCATGATTCGGAGATTAACTCCGTTCATTCGCGGCGCGCAGAGCGCCGTGACGGATCCAGGATTCCTGCTCGCGCTGTTGCTGGTCATTGTCCTACCCTCGCTCAACCGTAATCTCAACCTGAGCGCCAGAGTCCCCAGTTTACCCAGCCCAACCGCACTCGACGATTCCGTTGTCGGACCTTACGCCGACAGCTCGTCGCAGCAGCAACAATCGCAGCAGCAACAATCACAGCAGCAACAATCGCAGCAGCAGCAGAAATTGCTGCAGCAACGGGCGGATGGCTTGCAAGGGGTATCATCTACGGGGATTAGCGGGCCTTCGACTGCCGGAGTTAGCAGTTTAGTCCGACGTAAGATGCAGGATAAGGAGATGGTGGTGGGCGTGACTGCCGGCGACGCGGCGGATAGCTTAGGAGGTGGGTGCTGGTCGATGTGTTTCCTGTGACGTGCGCATTACTAGTGTAGTTTTAATGCTCACCAGGAGGTGGACTTCAGGTATAATTGGTACGGGGTACGCCTTTGAGGCTTCTGAGGGAAGTTTCATTTTTGCGTTTGGAGAGAGATAGTGGGTTTTGAGATGTTAATAAACGGATTGTCTTTCATAAAGCCTTGCGTTACGCTTCTCCCAAGGTGAAATATATCTTTACCTCTTTACCCCACTCTCTTCTCCCGTCCTTCGTTCCTGCAGCAAAGGAAGAGAGCGTCAATGTCGGCGGCAGCGACAATGACGCGAGCCTCAGTTCGCAGCAGCGGCACCAGCAGGAGGAGCTGGTCGGCAATCCCGTGGGCCGGCTCAAGATCTACGTCTACGATTTACCGCGCGATTTCAACTACAATTTCATCAAGAAGCAACCCCGCTGCCTGACGCACATGTTCGCGTTAGAAGTGCTGTTCCACCGTTACATCTTGAACAGCCCCGTACGTACGACGAACCCGGACGAGGCGGACTGGTTCTACATGCCCGTGTACCCCACGTGCGATCTGACGGCCTCGGGATTGCCGCTGCCGTTCCGGTCGCCGCGCATGATCCGCGCGGGGATCACGCTGGTGTCGGAGAAGTGGCCGTACTGGAACCGAACGGACGGCGCGGATCACTTCTTCATCACGCCGCACGATTTCGGCGCGTGCTTTCACTACGAGGTGAGTGTCACTGTAACGAAATGTGCAGTACAGCAGGGAGCAGGAAACAGAGAGCAGGGGGCAGGGAGCACGGGGCACGGGGCAGGGGGCAGGCGGCAGGGGAGAATGTAGCAGAGAGAACGCACAGCAGAGTAGAGAGATCGCCTACTGCGTAGTGCAATTAGCATGATAGGCAGAATATACATAACAGAGGCATTAATTTCCCCGTGTGCTGCAAGCCACACATTTCTCATACCTTACCCTTGGCGATATCATCCGTGGCATCATGCCATTCCTAGAACGAGCCACCCTGGCATCATGACGTTCGGGTAGTCTTCACCACCTCTGTCACAAGCCACTCAGTCTCTGTCCCTCTCTCCCTCCGCTCACGTGTCACTCTCTACGTTTTCCCAGGAAGAAAAGGCCATCACTCGAGGCATTATGCCGCTCTTGAAGAGGGCAACGTTAGTGCAGACGTTTGGGCAGTCGCACCACGTGTGCCACAAGCCACTCACCCTGCGTCCCTTGTGCTTTTCTCATCACATCCCGATTCCAGGAAGAGAAAGCCATCACCCGCGGCATCATGCCTCTGCTAAAGCGAGCAACCCTGGTGCAGACGTTTGGGCAGTCGCACCACGTGTGCCACAAGCCCGGCAGCATTGTGGTGCCTCCCTTCGCCCCCACGGGCCACATGCACCGCCGCCGCATCCCCCCTGACACGCCGCGCTCCATCTTTGTGTACTTCCGCGGGCTGTTCTACGACCGCAACAACGACCCCCAAGGGGGCTATTATGCCAGGTGAGCCGTGCTCTGAAATGCGCTTGGTGTGTGGGGATAAGGTGTGCTCCTGACACGCCGCGCTCCATCTTTGTGTACTTCCGCGGACTGTTCTACGACCGCAACAACGACCCCCAAGGGGGTTACTATGCCAGGTGAGCCTTTGCCCTGTGGTGCGCTGAGTGAGCAAGTGGAGGTAAGGTGTGTTCTTTCCAGCATCCCCCTTGGCACCCCTCGCTCCATCTTTGTGTCTTCCGCGGGCTGTTCTACGACCGCAACAACGACCCGCAGGGGGGCTATTATGCAATGTGAGTGGAATGCACAGCCGATGAGCCATGCTCTGTGATGTGCTGAGCTTGTGGTGGTGCGGAGCGAGGCAGACTGCACGCCAGGTGAGGCAGACTGCACGCCAGGTGAGGCAGACTGCACGCCAGGTGAGGCAGACTGCACGCCAGGTGAGGCTGACTGCACGCCAGGTGAGTCTGACTGCACGCCAGGTGAGGCTGACTGCACGCCAGGTGAGTCTGACTGCACGCCAGGTGAGGCTGACTGCACGCCAGGTGAGGCTGACTGCACGCCAGGTGAGGCTGACTGCACGCCATGTGAGCCCAGCTGAGCCGTGCTCTGAGCTGCTCTGGGCTGCTCTGCAGGGGTGCGCGTGCATCCATCTGGGAGAACTTCAAGAGCAACCCGCTGTTTGACATGTCAGCGGAGCACCCCGCCTCGTACTACGCTCGCTCTTCTGCCTCTGCCCGCTCGGCTGGCCCCCCCCGCTTCGTGGAGTCCGTCTTATTTGGCTGCATCCCTGCGATTGTCCCTTTCTCCGACCGTTTAACCGCATCCCACCCCTCCCTTTCCCTCTCCTGAACCCCCTCCCCTCCCCCACCTCCCGTCCCGCAGGGGCGCGCGGGCATCCATCTGGGAGAACTTCAAGAGCAACCCGCTGTTCGACATGTCAGCGGAGCACCCCGCCTCCTACTACGAGGACATGCAGCGTTCGCTCTTCTGCCTCTGCCCGCTCGGATGGGCGCCCTGGTCGCCGCGCCTTGTCGAGTCCGTCTTCTTCGGCTGCATCCCAGTCATCATAGCCGATAACATCGTCCTCCCCTTCTCTGACGTAATCCCCTGGCGGGAAATCGCCGTCTTCGTCCCGGAAAAAGACGTGCCGAAGCTGGACGAGATTCTGGCGGGGATCGGGCCGAAGAGGGTGCTGGCGATGCAGCAGCGGCTCGCGTCGCATGCGATCAGGCAGGCGGTGGTGCTGGGACACCCGCAGCCGCAGGAAGGGGATGTGTTTCACCAGGTGCTGAATGGGCTTGCGAGGAAGCTGCCTCACCCGCCGTCAACGTATTTACAGCCCGGGGATGAGAGGCTGAACTGGACCGCCGGACCGGCGAATGACTTCAAGCCGTGGAAGCCTGACTCTCATGTGTATTGGTGAAGATGATTTCCGGAGACGCCTGAAAAATGGTTTGACTGACTTGCATGTTTATTGGTGGAGATGGTGTTCTGGAACGCAGGGCGTCCATCAATTTAGGGCTCACCAGCTAGACTGTTCCATACTGTACCAACTGTAGCATACGGTAAATGTGTGAGACTCATGCATCAGTAAGTAACTAAGTAGGTTCTTATTCAAACTAGATGGTATGACAAAACATATGCAGCTACTGCAGCCTTGCTGAATCACTAGCATGGGATGCTACATGCTAGCTTTTGCCACTTGGCAACCAATACGGTACGGTAAAAGAAGGTCCTCACATGAGGATCTTCCCTCAATCTTGCTGCTTCTTCACCAGCTGCTGCTTGCTCCTCATGCACTCAAACTCCACCACTGAATAATCCTTAATAATCACCTGCCTGTCCCCCACCCATCCCTGAAGTCACTGGTTAATAATCCAGCTACCCACCTTTTACTGTCTACTTGCTTCTCCTCCCCTTGCTGCTTCCCTCCTGCACCTCCTGAGTCCCATCTGCCACCGTTACTACAACCTGCCTGGAACCTACTTGCAACCTACTTGCATCCTTTCCCTGCAACCCTCCTCCACACCATCCGACCTCCCCTTTGCCTCACACAAATGGCTGGCTGCCACTCGTTGCAAGGCCAGCTGCAACAGGGCTTCCTTCAGACGCTGCCTGGCGGACCTGTGGTTGTCAGCAACACGATTGGCAGGATCTGCCCTCTGGCGTACCAGATCCTGCACAACGGATCGGATGGTCCTTAAGAGGAGCACACGCTCCTTGCTGCTGCTGCTGATGCTGCTGCCAGGGTTGCTGCCAGGGTTGCTGCCAGGGTTGCTGCCAGGGTTGCCACTAGGGTTGCTAACAGGGTTGCTGTCGTTGCTGGCAGGCACACCTTCAATGTCACTTCTGCAATTGTTCTTGGCCGCCTTGAACTGAGATTGCAGCAGCAGAGGATCAGCTTCAGCACCTGACGACTCCCGTATGGCAGCAGCACTTGGATCTGGCACTGCTGCTGCAGCTGCTGGCGCCACAACCACAACTGCAGGCGATGGTACCACGGGATGAGCAGCAGACGCTGAGATGGGAGAAGACGCAGCGGCAGTGACCTCGAATGCAGCGACTTGCCCTCTGAAACGGCCTATTCCTCCCGTCTTCAGATCCCCCGGCTCACCACTCTGCACCGTTTTGGACTTGTGGCCAGCAGCAGAACTGGTGGAGGAAGAGGTGTGGGGCTGCCTTGACAGGTTCTCAAGCAACGGTCTCAAGCTCTTCAGCACAATGCTGTTGCAGTGGTCGGTAGTGAGACGCTTCGTGCAGTTAACCCGCACTGAGGGTTGAGGAGGCTTGAAGCACAAGGGTCGGTTGGCACGGTGTGGTTTCATAGACGCTGCATGATTAGGTTTGCCAAATCGTCCAATGCCTCTGGTGGTGACTAGAGCAAAAGATGCTGCCGATTCTGCTTTCTGCTTTACCAGATGCTCCAGCAGAGGTCTCAAGCTCTTCAAAGAAACACTACTGCTGCTGTCGATGCAGCTGCAGCTACCAGGCTTATTTTGCTCATTGAGGCATGCGTCACCGACTGCCTTCGAGCAGCTATCAGGAAGTCGCGATTTAGGAACGGTGTTGCCCCGTGACTCGGAACAAATCACCGTCTTGGGTATTCCGAATCTGCCAATGCCTTTGGCCCTGCTGATGCGGTTACTGTTGTCAGCTTTAGCGATCGACGTGGACTCCAACTTAGCTGGTTCATCTTCTATGCCACTCGTTTCCGCATGCAGGTTCATGCAGGCACTGCTGTAGCTAGATCAATATTCCGATGCTTCGCTTTGTAAGAAACCAGAAACCAGAATACGTCGGTATCCTACAGGTTCCGCACAAGGGATCGGATCGGAAGCTGCTAGTTAGCACATGGATCTCGAGACAGAGCAGCACTCCACGTCCCACGAGAGGCTTCTGATAGTGCTCTGAACTGATTACTCGGTCTTCACGTTATTCTCCAGGTTTGAGTATAAGAGAAGGCTGAACGGCTGGAGACTACCATGAAGGAGGTGACGCAGGGGTGACGTGCACAAACTCTAGCCTGGCGTTTGTGCTGCACTCTTGGCCGTGGAAACGATATGGAGCCGCGTCAGAGGGAATTGGTGGGGTGAAAGGATAAGGCGGCCTGGGAGAGATATTCTCTAGGCGTGAGCCGCTGCTGTTTTTGATTCGCCTGTCCTCGAGGTGCCATTCTTTGGCGCCACTTTTCTCGTCCCAGCCTGACAGGTGCTGTTGACGCTGCGGCATGTTACCGGGGATTGTTACACAGCGAGACATTTGGCGTGTTACCCGGATATGTTCGCGAAGGCATCGCACAGCAAATTGGACTGCCAACAGTTCCCTGACTGGCCGAACAGCCGCAACAGCTCTGGGAATGACGAGGGAGAGACGGTGGGTCAGCTGAATCCGTCCGCTTTAGACCAAAACCTTTTTCGCGAAAGGGTATGCTGGTGTAGTCAACCAGAGCACTTCGTTTATTGAAATCAAAAGAGCTTGAGCACTTGTCACAATTACTCAATTTTGCATCTACAGGGACCTTTGGCACGGCAAATCGCCTCAACTACGAGTGAAACGTAAACATGGGATCCGCAGGAACTACTCAAACATAATGCCAGCATGCTACGAAACTACACAGGCAACCCTAATATTCCACCCTCATCTCAGTGCTATATCGTCCTCGTTACCAGTTTTGCAACTAGTGTACTCGAATGTGTCCATATCATGCAGCGGACAATAACCGAAACCCTGCACCCTGAACCCGAGCTTTGAATAGAACGTTCTTGCACCAGTCACGTTGAGCTCCGTCTGAAGGCTTTTATTCAATCAGAACTGCGCGGTATTTGCGTCTGCTAGGCGTGTGCTAGGTCATATTCGACGTGAAATCCAGGGGAAACAGAAGGAGTCGGTTGAAAAACTGATCGCATGGGGCCAGTAGGCAGGCATAGGGGAAGAGGAAGAGGAGGAGGACGAGGTAGGGGAAGAGGAGGGGGAAGGGGGAGCTGGAGAGGGGGGGGAATTGCGGGCGCGGGGGGAAGCGCAAGGCATTCCGGTGGGGGAGGACAGGATGCGAAGGGGATGAAGAAAGGGGATGTGCGCGGAAGGGGCGGGAGACGACCAGTGGGAGGGGGGGAATCCCGTCCTGGGGGAATGGGAGAGAAGCGCGCAGAAGGGGGAAATGAAGAGTCGGAGGAGGAGGAGGGTGCGGGTCTAGGGTTGAGTGTGGCTGGGCCTGACGCTTACTCTGCGCTGCTGACGTCGCTGGGAAAAAGTACACGTGGCGCGCTTTCACAGGTCTACTCTCAGAGGTGCGGGGAGATGACTGTGTGATGCGGACGATGGGTGCAATGCGTGGCTTTTGAGGCTCTTGCAGCAGTTGTGACCGTTTTGAGAGAAGTCTGAAATAAAGAACAGAACGCGTGCAACAACAAGGGCTTGTACAGCTACGAGTATGATGCTCGTCATGCCAGTGTTACCGTTTTGAGAGAAGTCTGAAATAAAGAGCAGAACGCGTGCAACGACAAGGGCTCACGCAGCCGAGCATATGATGCTTGTCATGCCATTGCCAATCATGTGTTTATTGCTCTCACATAGTTCTTGTGCACACACACATGCAATGCATGCAAGCACCAGGAGTGTTGCACGACTGAGCTTGTGTGTTTTGGGGTGATGTGGTTGATTGCAGGGAGAGGGATGCACTGGGGATAGAGAGCGAGGAGGAGGAGGAAGAGGAAGAAGATGAGGAGGAGGGGGAGGAGGAGAGTGAAGAGGAGGAGGGAAACGCAGGAGGTTCCAATGTAGAAGCAGAAGGCGGAAAAAGGGAGGAGGATGAGGAGGAGAATGAGGAGGGGGATGCGGAGGGGGATGTGGGACGGTCTGATGGTGCTGGTGGAGTAAGAGGAGATGATGGTAGTGATGATGATGAGGAGGAAGGGGAAGAAGAGGAGAGTGAAGAGGAGGAGGGAGTGGATGAGGAGGAGGAAACTGGAGGTGGGGATGGTCATGCTGCTGCTACAGCCAGACTGGAGTAAGCAGACCCAAGCAACCCAACCCAACCCAACCCAACCCAACCCAACGTTTCATTCCGCTCGCGTTAAGCAGTCCCAACCAAGATTCGCACTTCGTGTCACGCCCACCGCCTTGCTTTACACCTCCGCTTAGTTTCCTTGCCATTCCTCAGCGCATCCCACACCGCCACTCTCCTTGAACCCTCTTGTGCTTCCCCTCGTTCCTCTCGATATCTCTCATTCCTCTCGCCCACTCTCCCCGGCCCATTCACCCAGCGCATGGATCACATGCTCACTCCACAGGAGCTCCTCTCACTGCGAGGTCCAGTGGCTTGAGTGGTGCACAGAGAGGCAAGGCGTTCAAGTTGTCCCACTCTCCCCCTCCTCCCTCTCCCACTCTCCCCCCTCCCACTCGTCTTCAGCCCCTTCGCCCAGCGCATGGAGCACATGCTCACGCCACAGGAGCTCCTCTCACTGGGAGCTTCTGCTGACACCGCTGCTGCAACTGCAGCTGCTGCTGTTGCTGCGGCAGCTGCTGCTGCAGGAAGGAAGGGCAAGGGCAAGGGTAAGGGCAGTGGCAGTGGCGGTGGCAGTTCCAGTGGTGCAGGGGGCGGCAAGCCACTCAAGTTTTCGTACGCATGGCCGGCGGTTGGCATCCCGGGCGGCAAGTGGGTGGCTGACCATGCTCTGCCTTGGACTGTTGCTGCGGATAAGGACAAGGATAAGGATACGGATACGGCTAAAGAAAAGGGCTTGGTTAAGGGTAAGGATAAGGCGAAGATTAAGGATAAGGAGAGGGGTCAGGATACGAATGGGTATGAGGATAAGAAGGAGGAGGTGGATGCGTGGGAGGGGTTCAAGGGGCGGTTGAAGGAGCACTGGGGGAGAGTGGTGGAGGAGGATTATGAACCTCTGCTGAGGGTGAGACAGGGGGGCGGAGGCAGCAGCAGTGGCTGTAATGGCAGCAGTGATGGCGGGGGGAAGCGGAAGAGAGGGAAGAAGACCCTAGCAGCAGCGCAAAATGGGCCGGCTGGTGGTGCCTCTTCAGGTGAAGCCATGGCAGCAGTGGGTGCGAGTGATGGGTTTGCGAGCGACCACCAGCGCCAGTTCTTCTCCCTCTGTGAGTCTCTCGTTGTGCCATGTCCTGCTTACCCATCCCCACCTCCCATCCCATATCCTCTCTACCCATGTCCTTTCTGCCCAGATTACTTCCTCCCCCTACTCATGCATTCAGCATACCGACGCACCTTGCTTTATCCCCAGCAAAGTCTCTCCATACCCCAACCATCCCCCGCTTTTTCTCCCCTCCTCCCGCTCCCTCTCGGAGGTACGTCACACTTGGACGTGCTTCACAATTCCCTGCTTTTGGAGCTAAGTGTGTTTTACTCCCCTTCCCATCTCCCCACTTTCCTCCCCCCCCCCCCCACCCCTCTTCCCCCCCTTCTCCCCTCCGCTGCAGGTACGTCATACACGGATGTGCTGCATTCGCGCCGACCGTGTGCTCAGTCCAAGTACGGCACGCCTCTGGACGCTCAGGCCCTCACCGACGCATATCTGCTGCATGCCGTACGCTTTGCCCTTGCTTGCTTGCTTTCCTGCTAGCAGCAGCTCTCAACTGTGCTCTTACTCACTCCCTTTCTCAACCACGCCTTTGAGTCCAAGTTTGGCTCGCCGCTGGATGCACAGGCGCTTGCCGATGCCTACCTGCTGCACGTGTTACGCATGCTTGCTTGTCTGTAGCTGCTCTGCTCTGCTGCATTTTATCCCTTAATGCCCTTTCTTAGAAGCTATTCCATTGCATATTACCCCTGCACTGTTGCTGCATTCCCCTGCTTTTAACATAATAAGTCGTTGTAACGGGAGTTATGCAACAGTTACAAGCCTATTGCACACTCACTCCCCTTCTCATGTGTCTCTCCTCCCAATCAACTCTCGTGACCTCATCACCACCTACAACAACAACAGCACCACCAACAAGTTGAGCGGAGCCCTTGTTGTGGCCTATGTTTCTCTCTCTTTCTCTCGTCCCTTCCAATGCCCCATCTTCTCTTCCCCTCCTCCCTCACCCCACGCTTCCCCTCCTCCTCCCCTCCTCGCCCTCCTTCTCGACCTCCTCTCCCTTCCCTCCCTGAACACGAGCAGTTGAACCATGTCTTTCACACGCGCGATCGCATCACCAAGCACAGCGACAAGCTCAACCACGCCTCTGCTGTTGTCTCTGTGTCACTGCTCCCTTCCATTACCCCTCTCTCTTCCACTTATCTATCCCTTGCTCTCCCCAGCTGAACCATGTCTTTCACACGCGGGATCGCATCACCAAGAACAACGACAAGCTCAACCGCGCCTCCGCTGCTGCTGTCGCTGCAGCTGACGCTGCTGCTGCTGCCTCTGGTGCTGCCGCTGGTGTAAAATGGAAGAAAAGGAGTAAAAGTGGTGGGGAGAAGGGGAGGAGTCAAGGGGTTGATGCAGTTGCTGCAGCTGCTGCAAGCTTAGAAGAAGGAGAAAACGGGGAGGGGAAAGGAGGGAAGGGGAAGGAGGCGGAGGAAAGGGAGCAGACTGAGGAAGGGGAGGAGGCGGGGGAGGGGGAACAGGCGGAGGAGGGAAAGAAGGACGAGGAGATGGAGGAGGGAGGGACGGAGAGTGTGCTCTTCAAGAAGGGAGGAAAAGGAGGGAAGAGAGGGAGTAAGGGGCTAGGCGGAGTGGTGAAAGGGAAGGAGTTGGTGGAGGTGGAGAGTATCCCCAGGGACCAGGGGTTCACCAGGCCCAAGGTGCTCGTCCTCCTGCCATACCGCAATGCTGCTCTGACCGTGGTGCAGAGGCTGTTGCAAGTGACTCCCCCGCAGTCTAAGGTCAGTGGCTTGGCGTAAACGGATTCTTGAATGGACCATTGAGGAGGTGGTGGAAGGGAAGGAGTTGGTGGAGTGGAGGGGGAGAGCATTCCTAGGGACAAGGGCTTCACTTGGCCTGAAGTACTTCCCCTCCTGCCGTACCGCAATGCTACCCTCGCCGTGGTGCAGCCGCTGTTGCGAATCATTGATGGTACTTTTGAGAATTCTCAAAAGCTACTCTCACCGTGGTGCAGTGCAGCAGCTGATGCGAATCACACCGCCCCAGTCAAAGGTCAGTGGTGCTAGGTACTGCATCGTCCTGCCGACCAAGGTGCTTCACACATCCCACGGTGCCGCTCCTCCTGTTTGAGAGTCACCTTTGAGAATTCTCAAAAGCTAACGCAAGATTCCAAGGTGCACTGACTGTGGTGCAGTGGCTGCTGCGAGTCGCACCACCCGTACTGCTGTCCAAGGTCAGCCAGTACTGCATCATCATCATACGCCTTCCATCTGACCCATGTTTGAAACATCTCGATACTATTCCTCCCTTATTCGCCCTTGCCTATAGGTGGCTGTGGAGCATTTGGATTGGTGAGTCTTAGCTGAGTCTTTTTCTGACTCCTTTCAAGGGATCCTTTTATCCTTCTCACACCCGCACCTCTCCGCACCTCACCGCACCTGACCGCACCCCACCGCCCTTACAGGTAGCAGTGGAGCATTTGGATCGTTTCCTTGCTGAGTTTGGAGAGGAAGAGAGCGAGGAGGAGGAGAGTGAGGAGGAGGACGAGGAGGAGAGGAGAAAGGCGAGGGAGAGGAAGAGGAGGAAGCAGCAGCAGCAGGTGGGCCGTGGGCTGTCGTGGGAAGCCGAGGAAATGGAGGATGGAGGAGGAGGAGGGGGAGGAGGAGGAGGAGGAGGAGGAGGAGGAGGAGGAGGAGGAGGGGGAGGAGGAGGAGGCAAAGGAGAAGGTGAGGGTGAGGGTGATGCAGCAGCAGCGGTGCTGCGGAAGGGGTTGAAGCCGGTGGATCACCGGGCCATGTTTGCCGGCAACAATGACGATCACTTCCGCCTCGGCATCAAATTCACCAAGTGAGCGGTGGTGTGCGGTGCGGTGCATTGTGGTGGTGAGGTGTGCGATGCGGTGCATTATGGTGGTGTGGTGTGGTATGCTGTACAGTGCTGTGTTGTGCTATGAATCACCGGGCCATGTTTGCGGGCAACAATGACGACCACTTCCGCCTCAGCATCAAATTCACCAAGTGCAGGATCCATCCACGTGTGATGCTCTGTGGTGTTGTTCTGTGCGGTGCTGTGTGCTTCATCCCCCCCCATTCCCCACCCCCATCCCAGGAAGGCAGTGAGCTCTATACGGACTTCTACCAGTCAGACATCATCGTTGCCTCCCCTATTGTACCCCGTCATATCTTCTGATCCACTCACCCACCACCCCCCCCCCCCCCCAATCCCCCGCCATCATCCCAGAAAGGCAGTGAAGCTCTACACAGATTTCTACCAGTCAAACATCATCGTTGCATCGCCATCATACCCCATCAGATCTTCTGTTCCACCCACCCCCTGCTTGTCCGCCTCCACACATCATCCCATCCCAGGAAGGCGGTCAAGCTCTACACGGATTTCTACCAGTCAGACATCATCGTTGCCTCGCCCATCGGCCTTGTCACCGTGCGCTCTCTCTCTCTCCTCATCTCGTTCCGATGCTGCCGAGTTGCTCTCTTCCCACAATTTCTCCACACTACTTCGTCTGTCCATCTTCACAACGGCTTGAAACCTCCCCTTTTTCCGCTTCCCAAAGTCTCTCTCGCTCTCTTACAACTGATTTAACACTTCCCCCTCCTTGCCGCCTGACTTTTTTCTTGCTTTCGGCATGCTTTTCAGTTTCATGTTCACTTGCCTCGTCACTTTCTTCTTTGATTTTGCCTCGTCCTCTCTTTTTCCCTTCAACTCCCACCCCACCTTTCAGTTTCCCCACCTTTTTGTTTCCCCACCTATTTTTTTCCGACCTTTTGTTTCCCCACCTTTTTTTTTTACCTTTTCGTTTCCCCACCTTTTTTTTTCGACCTTTTCGTTTTCCCACCTTTTTTTTTCGACCTTTTCGTTTCCCCGCCTTTTTGTTTGCCCACCTGCCCACGTGCAGAAGCTGGGCGAGGCTATGGAGGACAGCGAAAAGGACATGGACTTCCTTTCGTCCATTGAGGTGCGTGTGCCCAGTCAATGTTGGTCAACGTGGGTCAACGCTGGTCAGCACTGGTCAGCATTGGTCAGCGCTGGTCAACGCTGATCAGTGATGCAAGTCTTTTTCAAGTTGGTCAACATCGCTCATTCTGTTATAAGTCCAGGCCAGATATGTGCGTGCATGTGCATGAGAGAGTGTCCGTGTGCATGCATGGATGTGTCGAGGTGGACATGCAGATGTTGAGGTGTGGATTTGTGGAGGTGCACATGTGAGAAAGACGTGCATCACACATGCATCATGCACCGCTCTCGTTCTCTGCCAAAACTACACAAAAATAGTTAGCACTGCTTTTGAGTCGACTCAAAATTGTTAGCACTACTGCTCCTCCCTCCGCTCCACTCACACCTCCCCATGGAACATTTCTTGTCACGCCCTCCCCTTCCACCTCTCAGCGCGTTTTCTCCATTCCACCTTCCCCCATGCCACGTGCATGCCACTCCCCTCCCCGCCACATCAGATTGTCATTGTGGACCAAGCTGACGTCATCCTCATGCAGGTATACCATTTCATAAGCTTATCATCTGCTTTCATACTAGAGTGATAAGCAATAATATGCGTATTATCTGCTTCCTTACTCTACTAATTAGCATATCCTCTGCATCCATACCGGACTAATGTCATTTTTCATTTGTAAGCCCCTGAGAGGAAATTATCTCATGTGGAAATGCCTCCTCCTTCCACTCGGTGCAGAACTGCGCTCACGTGGAGGCGTGTTTGCGCAGCTGAACATTTGCGGCTGAAGCAGAAGGTGTATGACCTTGTTTAAGCAATAAAATGCAAACACCCACTCCACAAACTCTCCCCACTCGTTGCAGAACTGGGCACACGTGGAGGCTGTGTTTGCGCAGCTGAACAAGCTGCCAGTGAAGCAGCACGGCACTGACTTCATGCGCGTGCGCGAGTGGTGAGCCATGTGATGTGATGGTAGACGGGGGGGCTAAGAGGAAGGGGGGAGAGGGAAAGCGGGTGCTGTTCGCGTTTAACATAGTTACATTCGAGTTTGTAGATTGGGATGGGGAAGCGGATGGGGAAGTGGGTGGAGTGGACTGTGTCTTGTTGGAGTCTCTGGCTCATGCTCCCCCTCTCGCCCTAACTTACTCCCGTTCCTCATTCCTCTTCGCGCCCCCATCTAACGCCCCATGCTCCATGCCATCCCCCAGGTATCTGAACGGCTGGGCGGCGCACTACAGGCAGTTCATCTTTCTCTTACCCCTGCTAACCTTGGTCCTTATGCTTCTCTCCGTGCCCTGTTCTTCACCCCCATATCCCCATTGCCCATCTTCCCTTGGTCCATGCGATACCCCAGGTATCTGAACGGCTGGGCAGCACACTATCGGCAGTCCATTGTTCTCTCCGCCTTCTCCCACCCCTGTAAGCTTCATCAAACACTCCCTTCTGTGAGCCTTGTGGGGCATCCCTTTTTCTCCCCTTGCTCCTGCCCCGTTCCCTCTTGCTCGCCCCCTACGAATACTACCCGTTGCTCCTTGTTCTTGAGGACTCTCAGAATTGACCCGTTTTGTTTTTTCCCTTTATATTTATTATCAACGGCAAGCCAACAGACCGGATGATTAAGGGTGCACTTGGTAAATTTCTCGTCCGTCCACTTCCCTCTCCTACCTTACTCTCTTCGATCGTCCCCTCTCCTCCCCTCTCCGTTCCTCCCTCCCCTCCCTCATCCAGCCATCAATGCTCTGTTTCACCGATCCTGCTGCAACTTCTCCCTTTGCCTCCGTTCTCTCTCTCTCCTCTTCCTTGCTATATTCCCTACCTGCTCTCCTCCCTCCCCTACCTCATCCAGCCATCAACGCTCTGTTTCACCGATCCTGCTGCAACTTCTCCCTTTGCCTCCGTTCTCTCTCTCTCCTCTTCCTTGCTATATTCCCTACCTGCTCTCCTCCCTCCCCTACCTCATCCAGCCATCAACGCTCTGTTTCACCGATCCTGCTGCAACTTCTCCCTTTGCCTCCGTTCTCTCTCTCTCCTCTTCCTTGCTATATTCCCTACCTGCTCTCCTCCCTCCCCTACCTCATCCAGCCATCAACGCTCTGTTTCACCGATCCTGCTGCAACTTCTCCCTTTGCCTCCGTTCTCTCTCTCTCCTCTTCCTTGCTATATTCCCTACCTGCTCTCCTCCCTCCCCTACCTCATCCAGCCATCAACGCTCTGTTTCACCGATCCTGCTGCAACTTCTCAGGCAAGGTACGCAAGAAGTGTGCTGTTCAATATGTTCCCACGCGCTCTTTCCCTTACTGCTGCATATCCCACACAGTGTTTCCACTCCGTGCTTTTCTAACACGGGTGCAGCAGCTGTTTGACCGCGTTGACTGCACTGCCATCTCATGCCTGATTCACACCCGCTTTCTCTTCCCTACCCATATCATCAGGCGAAGCTTCGATCAGAGTACACAGGCGTGCTGGCGCTGGTGGTGCCGTAGGTGCAGCAGGTGTTTGACCGCGTTGACTGCATTGACTGCACACACAAATTCATTGCCCTCCCTCTTCTTCCTCCCTCTATCAGGTGAAGCTTCGATCAGAGTATACAGGCGTGCTGGCGCTGGTGGTGCAGCAGGTGCAGCAGGTGTTTGACCGCGTTGATTGCATTGACTCCATTGAATCTCCCCCCCCCCCCCAAACAGGTGAAGCTACGGTCAGAGTACGCGGGGGTCCTGGTGCTGGTGGTGCCACAGGTGCAGCAGGTGTTTGACCGCGTTGACTGCACTTGACTGCACTGCCATCACACGCCTGTATTCACGCCGGCACTCCTCTCCCTCCTCTCCCCATCAGGTCAAGCTACGGTCAGATTATACAGGAGTGCTGGCGCTTGTGGTCCCCCAGGTGCAGCAGGTGTTTGACCGTGTTGACTGCAGCGCCATCACAGCAGCAGCAGAAGCACGCTTCCAGTTCTTCCTCTCCACCATCTTCCCGCGCCTTCGGGACTCCGTTCAGGTGAGTCTCCCCCTATGCCTTTTGAGGCGCCCCAACAGTTCACGTGAACCCTCCTGCTCTCCGAGTAAGCCCCTCTTTTGAGCCGCCTTCAATCTGAAAACCATTGTTGAGGCACCCAAAGAAGCAATGCTTTAAATAGAAGACCCCCCCTCCTTCCTCCTCCTCTCTGAGTGCGTGTGTGTGTGGGGAGGAGGGCGGAGGGATGTTTCTTCCACGCTTTTAGCCTCGCCTTGCTCTCGTGTTTTTCCAGCCCCTCCCCCTTTCCCCCTCCCCATTTCCCCCTCCCGCTTTCCCCCTCCCTGTTCTTCCCCTCCCTCTTTCCCTCTCTCCTCTCCTTCCCAGGTACACGGACGAGCGCAATGTGCACCGGGCAAGGGCGTGGTTCTTCCACGCTTTGACCTGCGCTTCCCCTCTCCCTCTTCCCTCCTCCACCTTCCCCCTTTCCTCCTTTCCCCCTTCTCCCCTCCCCATCTCTCAACCCAGGTACACGGACGAGCGCAACGTGCATCGGGCGAGGGCGTGGTTCTTCCAGAACCGGCGGCGCATCATGCTGTACTCGGAGCCATCGCACTTCTACCACCGCTACCGGGTAGGGTACCCACTCACTCACTCACTCACTCACTCACTCACTCACCGTTTTAAGGCGTCTCAAAACGCATCATGCTGTTCTCCGAGCGATCGCACTTCTAACATTGCTACCGGGTAGGGCACCCACTCACTCACTCACTTCCTTGCCACACTCACTTCCTTGCCACACTCATGTCCTGTCTTTGCACTTTTAGCTGGATGTGTCTTAGAGTTACTGGTGGCTGTTAGAGTCAACTGCTGGCTGTTAGGGTCACGGCTAGCTGTTAGGGTCACGGCTAGCTGTTAGGGTCACGGCTAGCTGTTAGGGTTATTGCTGGTTAGGGTTACAGCTGGCTGTTATTGTTAAAGCTGGTGCTTGGAACACTTCGCTCATCTTTACACCTTTCACTGTCGTTTCGTCTCCCTGCCGTTCACCTCCCTGCCGTTCACCTCCCTGCCGTCTCCTCTCTCCTGTCCCCGTCTCTGCCATCGCCCCCCCACTGTCTCCTCCCCACCATCACCCTGCGCACCAGATCCGGGGCATTCGGGAGGTGATATTCTACTCTCTGCCGTGCTACCCTCACTTCTATGCTGAGGTGCGTGGGTGGTGAGGGGATGAGAAAGGGTGAGGTGGATGAGATAGGGTGAGGGGGAGAAAAGGGGGAAGAGGTGGTTGGAGGGAAGGGAGAAGCGGGGGCAAAGGAAAGGGGAGGTCATATTCCACTCGCTGCCGCGCTACCCGCACTTCTATGCAGAGGTGCGAGTGTTGCTGGGGGGGTGCAATGGGAGGAGAAAGGGGGTGGTACCAGGGAGGCTATTCACACTTGTATGCGGAGGAGCACGTGTGTGCTGTCTCTTGTGGGGGGTTCAGAAGCGGGACGGGAGGCTGGAGAGGGTGTAGAGGCGAGAAGAAGGGGAACCCCATCGCTTCCCCATCTCTTGTCTCTCCCTGAACCCAAAGTCCCAATCTCCCCCCGACCTTCCCCTACCTCCCCTTGTTTTATCACCCCCCAAACCCCCTTTCTCTCTATAGATTCTCACCTTGCTGGAAGGGGCACACAACGCAGTTGCTAGAGGCTGTTTAAAGCCACTCTCTTGCCCCTGCCTTCCCTACCCGCCTTCCCCTCCTTGTCACTCCCCGGACCCCTCCCCACAGGTTCTCAACCTACTAGAAGGGGTGGACAACGCTTCCTGCTCCGCCATCTTCACTCGCTTTGATAATCTGGAGGTCAGCCAGCCCATGCCCTGTGCCCCCTCATGCACACTTACACACTCCTGCCCTGCCCCCTGCCCTGTGCTCCCTGCCCCCTGCCCTGCACACCCCCCCCCCTGCCCTGTGTCCCCTCATGCACACCCACACACTCCCTCACACTCCAGTAACCTGGAGGTCAGTTGCGTCCCTCCCTTGCACACTCGCACACTCCTGCCTCCGCGCCATGGCCTGTTACTCTCTGCTCCCTGCTTGCCACTTGCTGCTGTTTCCTGCTGCCGACTGGCTCTTAACTCCTGCTGCCCACTGCGCTTGAGCAAGCCTCATGACACGACAGCCGTTTATCCTCCTTCCGTTGCTCGACCTGTGGAATGTGTGTGTGTTTTGATTTCCAAATTGGAAAATCGTGTTGCAGCTGGCGAGAATTGTGGGATCTTCTAGAAGCACCAGGATGCTGCAATCCCCCAACCACACCTTCATGTTCTGCTAAATGGGTCGGGGAAATGTAGTTCGTGGGCAGTTTTCAGCTCGCATACCATGTGCTGTACCATAGTGTACGCATTTAGACCAGATCAAGATCTTCCTTGTCCGCCTTACGAACATTGATATATATTGAGAAGGTTTGTGATGGTAGGCTCAAATGTCCATTATCTCTTTTACCCAAAGAATGTGCGATAGAAAAATTGGCCTTCAATTAGATACATCACTATTCAAATAGATACAAAAGATGCACCCGCAATATACGGGCACTATGGCAGCACGCCTTCGGTCTGATCTGACGAAAAGAGGCAGAAACACGGGATGCGCCCAGCGCGTCCGTAACCTGTCGCCGTTCCCCCTCGTTAAGTAGCTACCTACGAGGTGATTACTGGTAACTACGATGTCTTGATCGTTACATCCATCCAGCAATGAAAGAAGCAAGGCCCTTGCGAGAGCTCTTCGCCTTTGCCCCGCTGCTGGAACCAGAAACCTTCTCCGGAGCTTCTTCGGCGCCGCTCTGCTTGCTCGTCTTCCCGAAGAATCCCTTCTTCGCGTGGCTGCGATTCGACTCAGCGGCAGACGAACCGAACGAGGCTCGGCGCGCTTTGCTGGCTTTCGCCGCCGGCTCGTATTTCGCGCGGTACGACGCGGCGAGCTCGTCGTGCTGGCACGGCTGCGCGGCCGCCGGGCAGCCGCAAACAGCATCCGCTTCCGCCGGGCAGTCGTGCGAAAAGTCCTCGAAGGTTCGGTTCATCCAGTTCGCCGCTGCGACGGCCTGCTGCGTCTCGACGACGGCGAGCGCCGCGTTGCGAATTCGCGAGCGAGCGTCGTCGACCCACACCGGGTCGCACGCGAGTTCCGCCTCCCAGCACGACGCGCCGCTGCTGCTGACGCGGCTCCCGTCCGAGGAATTAGAGTCTAGGGAGAACCGCGAGGTATAATAACGGTCCGAGTCCGAATCGTATTCGTCGGCATCGTTAGCGTCGCCGCCGCCGGCGTAGAGGTTTGCGGCGCGGGTGGAGGGGTAGAGAGACGTGTAACGCTCCCATTGGCTGTCGATGTCTGCGTCCCAAGGCGATGAGATCGCCGCGGCTGTTCCTGTGTGATCCATTATTACTTAAAAATCGCCCAAGGTAAAGCAAATCGCCTGACAGGGAGTCTGTAGACTGGTTCACTCGTCGATTAGACGCTAGGGGCGCGAAAGTGTTCTGTTTGCGCTGGATAGTGAAAGGCTGGCTGCTGATGTTCTGTTGGGAGAATGTGTGAGAAGCCTGCGGTTTTATCCGTTGGTGGTTTGCCTGGTCAGCTGCTGGATCAGCTCAGCTCCTGCTGCTGCTGCTGCTGCTGCTGACAGGTCCCCCACCGCCTTTGCGGAAGCTGGTCCGCCATGCCAGTTTGTTCCATCATTCCTTCCTCCCGCCTCCCGCCCCAAACCACCCTGCCCCTATTCCTTCCTGCCCCAAAAGCCCCCGATCGCACTCGATCCGGCATCGCAGCGCAGCAGCGGTGCAACCCCTCTGGTCCCTGCGTCCACGCGCATTGAAACCAAATCTTTTTCCTCGCACTCTCATGGAATCGAAACCACGCGCCACCAACTGCCTGCCAGAGGGACAAATCACCACCCCAGTGGTCCCCAGCCCCAAGTCCTGCTGACTTGAGCCCAGCAAACCGACTTCTTCCGCTGTCACTTCCTTATCCGTTCGTTTCTTTGGCATCGAGTCCTCACAGCCGCGAAGTTGATCCTTTCCTTCCCGTTTCCAAACCCTTGTCCATGTCAGCACCTGGCGCTTTTGGAAAACGCGAAGATGTGGCTTCTGCACTGGGACCACATCTTCGTGACGATCGATCCGATTCCAGGTCATCGACAGTCTGGCAAGGGAGGAGGCCATGACGTGTGCAATTGCATGGCATGACGGATGAGGCACAATGCGATCCAGAACAAGCGTTTCCGTGGGGAGCCTCGAACCGCGTGTTACGAACCGCGTGACATGGCTGCATACTCACCACTCAAGTGCGGATTGGAATCCGTTTCAGCTTCATCAGGAAGCCGAAACGGATTTTCGAGCGCACCATCAAGGAAGGGGGCTGACCACACACTAGTTTTAGGCATCGTAAATGCACTACAGCACCAACTGCCCGAGTTATGGAGTGCCCGACTCGCCTCCGTAGAGTACATAAAATGAAACGTGTACATACATATGCGAATACCCTCGTAAGCATGAATTCTGCGGGCTAGGCTCGCACGAACTTCTTTTCATTTAAAAAATCACGCGTCGTGGATTCCGGGCAACACCGAACGATCAAAATGCTGCTTCCCAGCATTGAATTGCTCAGCAAACTGTGAAAAAAGATTCAGGAGTGAAGGTGGATCAACACCAACCGCACCTTGACACTGTGGAAAAAGCTACACGCACCAGGCACGGCCATCGACTCGACAGTGCGATTTGAGGACGCGTTACAAGTTGAATACCGAGGAAAGATCGGGGTGTTCACCGAACCTGCCAAACCGATCTCCATATCGGTGTGCGACGACTGCTTTGAAGTTTCAAGTGACACGATCGTAAAAACATGGGGCAAAATTGCCCGATGTGTGACAAGGGCACATCGATCGCCTGACTTGGAAGGGACAACTGTACGTTAGCGAAAACAAACGAAATAATGTAACCACCTAAACACCGATTCTTGGCAAGATCGATGTTCTACTTGTGACGCGTCCTGAGCTCTAGGCTGTCCACAAGATGCGCGTAATGATACACGTACCGTTACAGCCCAAGCAATTCATACTTACAAGCCCCAAGCAATTCATTCTTACAAGAAACAGCCCGCGCGTTACAGGCACACCGCAGTTCAACAGCCTTACGATAGCAAACATTAAATCTCACATGAAGTCTAAGGTGCGCATTGAAGCTCAGACTCTGTAGGGGGGATGTTGCATGCTTTTTGCCATGGTCGGTTACACATTCATATGGGCTAAAAACCAGTACCTTTTGTCCATAAATGCTATCCATACGCACATGCATATTGATTGAAACAACCGCAAGCAATGTTCACATGACGAGTGCAACAACGATTTATTAGTAGGAATAAGTGTTTATATGTGCCTATACCGTTCCACAAGTGGGTTCAAGCCCAAATGCATCTAAATGGCAGAGTGATGCTGAGATCGGCAGAGAGGGTCATGCGTGAGACAGACACTTGAAGATACGAAAAGAAAATAGGGAAGGTGAATATGAGCAGGGGTTAAAGACAGGACAGGCCATGGGGATCATCATGGCTCTGTGCGCCAGCATTTGTGCCACATCATGTCCAAACCCAGCCGTGCCACTGCATACCGCACGGCCTCACCACACCCTGCACCACTGCTCTCCCATGCGCTCCCCCACTTACCACCCCATTTACTCCCGACCCCGTCCTCTGCTCCGCCCCCTGCCTCTACAGCAACCCCGCTCTCCAGACTCACATAGCGATCCACTGCCCGCGTGTTCGTGCAGCCATAGCCATTCCCGCCGGTGCAGCTGCTGCTATTCTCGCTTCCCAGGTCTTCCCTCGTGTAGGCATCCATGCATGCCATTCCCATGCCGCCTGTGCCGCCTGTGCCGCCCATGCCACCACCGATGCAGCCAGACAGGGCTGTAAGACTGCGAGAGCGCATGGGTGGAGCCATGACTCGAGCATCCGGCGCCACGAGCTTACCATCAGCAGAGCAGATGGTGATCGTGACAGGTGGATTCCCAGGTGCTTTTTCAGGTGGTTTCCCAGGAGAGTTCCCAGGGGCTGGACTGCTGTGGTCTTCAGGAGGCAGTGGCACTACCTTGGAACTACTAAGGGATGCATAGGCAGATGCAGACACAGAGGCAGCGACTTCGCCATTGTAAAACAGCCCAAGAACGCTTCGCTTGCCCTCCACATTGCCACCTTGCTTCACCACTTTGCTATCACTACCATTGAGGCTGACGATGCTGTTGCTGCTGCTATCCTGGCTGCTCATTCCCTGACCCATGCTTCCCAGCACCAGCCTCACTCCATCTCCATTCCCCATGTTCTCTTTCTCCCGACCCTCTGCCTGCCTCTCAACCGGCACTCGAATGGTATCATCGCGGTAAAACCCGTCCTCACACACGGGGGGGGTGAGCACCACAGCAGAATTGCTCTCCACTTCTGCTGAGCCCGTTCCACTCGGCTTGTAATCTGCTTCCGAGTAGATCACCGTACCAAACGATGCCTCCGTGCACACCGTGCCCATGCTTGCTGTGTCGTCAAACGCTTCCTCGTTCCCTTCCTCCACCGCACCCATGAGAGACATGGGCCCAACCTCCCTCCGCCCTCCCTTCCTCCTGCTGCTCTTCTTCCTCCTCCCTCCTCCACTCCCACCTCCCATCCCATCTCCTGCTCCCCCCTCCCAGCTGTTCTCCGAACCTGATCCTGCCGAGGCTACTCCCGGGCCTCGCTGCTCTGGGTACCGACGCTGCGAGCCAGGTATGGGGATGACTGGCTTGATGTCACTGGAAGTTAGGTTAGGGAGAGGCATGGGCAGCTGGGAGAGGAACTGCCGAGGCGGCAGCTCCACCTGCTGCTGATTAGGTTTCTGCTGCCACTGCTGCTGCTGCTGCTGAAGCAGGGAGTAGCCTTGGGGGCCAGAGGAATGGAAGCTAGAGAGAGGAGCAGAATGGGGGATGGAAGACAAGGGACCAGAAAAGGGAGTGGAGGAGAGGGGACCAGAGAAAGGGGTGGAAGAGAGGGGGCCGGAGTGTGGCAGGGAAGAGCCAGAGAGGAGGCCTGAGGGGGCGAACTCTGGAAGGAAAAGGACGACTGCCGTGCAATCGTCGGGTTTGACTGACTGGTGCTTTGCCGCCCAGATGCTGCGAGCACGAGCGACAAGATGCCGGGCCGCGGTCTGACGGGTTGGGGCGGCTAGCACTGCTGACATGGCTTCCTGAGGGGTCATGACATCCCAAAGCTGTAAGGGGGAATGGGGGGAAGAGGAGGAATGAAAAAAGGGGAGGCGGTAACGTTGATTAACAGCATGGCAGGCACAAGCTCAAGTTAGATAGCACAGAGAGGGGAAGCAAAGTCGAGGGAAGCAACAATGGGAAAAGGGGTTGAACATCAAATTGATTGAAGCATAGAGAAGAGCAAGCAAATGTTATACTGTGGATTTTGTGTATGGGGAAATTTAACTGCAAACCGGGCTAAACCAGCACTATCAATGATGGCATTCTCCATACTCTTTTGCTTCAGGCTCACCCCGTCTGTAGCGAGGATAATGAATTCGTCTTCCGAGGTGAGGTGGCGAATGAGGATATCTGGTTCGGCGATAACCCCATAATCCTTCACCACGAAGTCGCCGAACGCTCGCGACGGCACCAAACCAGGGCTTCGCTCGCGCGGTAACCAGATTCGCGGGTTACCCGGCTCATGTTCCGACGCCTGGACTCGCCCTCCCGCTTGCTCAATCCGTTTTCGCTCAGCTGCCATTACCAAAAAGAGGCGAAAGAGGATGACAAACTTCGGTTACATACCATTGTGAAATTTGAAACACCAAACGGGATTCAACACATCTGAAGCGCGCAGAGATGACCCCACGCAACAAAGTACGCCAAGCCAACTGCATAATAGGGCCGAAACCGCTACTCGGCCGCAGCCAAACCTGCTGATAATAGCATTCGCCCTCTTCCCCACTCCCCCGATATTCCAGACCTGTCCCTCTCCCCTCCTCGAGCCTTGTTTCTTCCGATTGTGTTTTTATCCCCGTCCACTCACAGGCGACGCTGCACTTGTGGTCGTTGGTGAGCGGTTTGCACTGCATGCCGCCAATGGATGCAGCCGTCCCGGGAACGGCGTGGCCCGCCTTGCAACGGTACGCCAACACTGCGCGTGAATCCCCAATGCTCGCCACCACCAATCGACGGCCCTGTTATCAGGCGAGCATAAGGTGGTGGGGCAGGCGGGAGGAGGGTGGGGGAGGACAGGGGTGCGGGCGGGTTTTGAGGCATCTAAAAAAAAAAACCAGGCGAACACAAGGCGGTGTGTAGGCGGGGAGGGGCAGTCGGGCGGGACGGGCGAGGCGGGGAAGGAAGACGACTGTCACAAACTTGTGACTTCTCCGCTGTACCACTATCAAAATTGCCCGAGATTTTACCGGTCTATTGTAAATTAGGTTCCGACCCAAGTTGAGCCCGGTAGTGGGGGTGGTGCAGGGTAAACTACAACTGGGTCTTTCGTGCATATTTAGATCGCTTATGAGATGTTTTTTTAGAACGTCCCGTCCGTGGCTGAGACCGACAACACAGACAGTCACGACGACAACAGCGGGTTGTTCATTTCATGAATTGTAAACCTGGAAAAAAAAAAACTATCTAAACGAGGGTATCCGGTCCGTGACTCAGACCGTAAACACAAACGGGCACTTGCGCCCGTCCGCTGACGACGCCAGCGCTGCCGGTTTGGCGTTGACTCAAGTCACTACGGGGCGCACGTAAACTGAGCCGGGAACAACAGGAAACTTACCAGCAGGGCAGCGACGACGGCGGTGCTGCCGCTGACGTGGCCGTCCACGTGCGGGTGGCTGCGCAGCTCGTCGTCCATCTCCAGAAACGCGCGCCGAAACGCGCGCTCCACCTGCGCCTTCGACGCCTCTCTGGACGCCTCGGCTGCCGCCGCCGCCGCCGCTGCCGCCGCAGGGGACGCTGACGACGAGGACGAGTGATAGGGGGAAACGGGCCCCCGAGGCGTGAAATTTTCTAACGAATTGGCGGATCGCGACCGCTGCAACGTCATCCCGCCGTCGCCACCACCGCCGTAGGCCGGGGCTACTCCCAAGGGGTGGACTTTGCCCGAAGCGCCTTTGCTCTTGCTGCTGCCTCCATTAACTCCGAGCCGCTGCAAGAGCTGGTCGCTTGCAGGCGCCATCGGCGGCGCGCACTTGTCGAGGTGGCCGTATGGCGACACGGTTGCTACGGGAGGAGGCGCGAGAAGCGACGCGATGCGGCTCGGGAGCGAGTCGCGCACGCGCTGCGAGACGAGGTGGCCGTTGGGCCCGTGACCGTCGAAGACGGCGCAGAAGATGACGTCAGACGCGGCGCCGGGAGGCATGCGGCCTTTCACGCGACCCGCGATTTCTGGGACGTTGAAATCCTGGTGGGACGCAGAAACGGAGAGAGCAACGGCGAAAATGGGGGTTTTGAAGCAGAGGGAGGGAAGGTGGAAGGAGGCTGGGTTGTTCGACATCACGACTCGGTGTCCGCGATATGATCATAGCAGGTACATATTCTAACAGTCAATGTAATTGGAAACTTTTTCGCCCCGGGTGGCGCACCTCCCACGCGATCATGGAGTCCTGGTTGCAAATGTGCCGGCCGCCGGCCTCTGAGAACAAGCTGCAGTGCTCCAGAGCGCCGTTCCCGGTGAACCGCAGGCGAATCGCCGACAAACCCATATCGCGCCGCACCTCGTCCTCCAATAGCTGCTTGACACGACTACCAGACGCGATGGCTGGCCGCCGAAAGGCGGCGATAAGGAGGGGGGGAGGGGAGAGGGGGGGGAAGACAGGAGAGGAAGGGGGCGGTGATGGTGGGGAGAGAGAGAGAAAAGGGGCGAAAAGGGATTAAAAGCGTTAGTCCTCGAGGGCTATAATCCGCGCTATGGTCTACCCGATGCAATCGAGTGCCTACAGTTCGGGAGTCGCCGGCGCCCATTTTGCGCGAATGATGCACTGTTGGAGCGGAGCGGCTCGGCCGTCCAGTTTCAGCAATTACAGCGCGCATCAACGCGTCTTACCTGCGTTCACTCGCCTTACCCACGGCGCCGCACCTGCGTCCCATCCAAAGAACCCACATCACCAGCGTCCCCTCACCTTCATTCGCAAGGAACTAGAGCTGCTAACACCGTGCGGAGGCGCAGCGCGCCGCGCGCCGTACTGCGTGCCCTTACCTGCGCCGCCTCACCTGCGCCCTCTCCACCGCGCCCTCACCCGCGCCCTCAGCTGTTCCAACTGCCGCGCTTTCCAATTTTTGAGTCGACTCAAAAACGCGTTCACGCGAAGTCCCGCGCGCCCTCACCTGCGTTCACGCGGTCCTTGAGCTGCTCCAGCTGCCGCGCTTTCCGCTCTATCGCCTCGTCCTCCCCCTCATCCCACACGGGCTGCACTTTCGCGGAAGCCCGCGCTTTTCCGCCCTTTCTCGAGGCCTGCGAAGCGCCCACTCCTCCCGGCGCGGCGCCGATCGCCTCTGCCAGCTCTGTCGATGCGGCCGCCCCCATTTCTACCCCTCGGGTTGCCTACACAGGTTCTAAAACACCGCGGCTGGGTTTCTTCTCTTCGCTCTCACTCTCTCCCCCTTCTTTTTCGCCGAACGACAAGGGTGCAAACGCTCGAATGCGTTTCTCTACGACTTTAGTCACGACGAACTACAGAAGAGGCGAGAATCAGGAGAATGAATCAAGGGGGTGGAGGAGACACATCCCGCGTCTGCTGCGAAGCGACTGACGTTCCATCTGTGACTGTTCCGGCCGTTGGTGAGGCACTACAAGTCGACTATAGTGCGTGTTTAGAGACAAGTAAACAACAAAGAGTGGGAAAACGATTGTAGGTGTGCTATGAGCGCTGGATACTATTATCATGAGCCTCGCCTAGTCGAACCCTGGAGCTAGGAGCGATAAGGGAGCGCATGGACCTTACGATACCTCATAGCTTTGAACAGAGTTAGCTGTTCGATCGACTCGTCAAGCCAGCCATGCCGCTTGACTGCCTTCGACCAACTATGCCGCGGCGACTTGTGCACTGTGCTGTGGGGGCAAGCGCGAAGCGAACTGCTCTGCTCCAACACAGCTGGATAAAGGTGAAGGACAGTGATTTGCCAGTCCTGAAGCAGCTATGACGGCAACTTGCTGTTGGGCTCTCGTGCTCCAATCGAAGGCTTCAATTTAACGGAACAAGTTGGAATCTGGGGAGGGCTTGGGTAGGAAGAAAAGTTGGGGTGAAGCCAAGGGGAGCTTGTGGGGAAACCTTACCCCGCCCCTCTAAACCTCAAAAACACGTTCTTTAAACTCTTAAAATCGTTGTAGACCGTAATCACTCGATGCTCTAGGACCTAGGCATGCAGAGCACGCATGCTGCTCATAACCTGGACAGCTTGCCATTGGACCGAGAAATCTGTGCGCATGCCGATTGGCGAATGTGAGGTGCCGAGATGGGGCGGTGGGTTGGGTTGGAGAAAGGAGGGCTAGGGGGGGGCAGGAAAGTCGATTCGAATCGAAACAAAATGTCCCCGTGCCGTGTTTGACTCACCCCAACATTGCGGCTCGGGGCTGCGCCCCAAGAGCGCCCGTGGTCCAGGAATGTGGAGCGGCTCGGGGAGGGAGAAATTCCACGTGGCGATAATCCCGCAGCGGTTGCCACCCCAACCAGAAGTAATTGCACGAACCCTGGATATGGTTCGTGCAACAGTTCCATTTTCTCGCGTGACTGGCTGATGGTACTGGCACGTAACAAGGGTGCCGCATCTCACGCTCACTGCGGCTTGGCTGACTCGCAGTTGCATCCGGCACGACCACAGTTTCAAATAATATCCACTGGATAGCAATAATGGGTAAGTGTACCACGCATACTTGGACCACCTTAATATAAAACAGCTTCAGATTAAACTAGCTTACAAAATAAATCAGCTTCAAAATGGGGGCATTCTTGAACCAGCTCACTAGCCTGAACGACACTCGTCCTGGCTGGGACAACAGTTAAACATGTGATCACTAAATATTTATTACCTAATTCAATTTTTCCACAATTTATCACAGCACATCGTATCATCCACCCTTCTGCACCACAGAGACTTGGTTGGCGCTACTCGTGGTGCTTGGCATGGTGCTGTATGGCAACACCACCCAAAAATCGTATATCATTCTACGCTAACACGCGTAGAATGGCCGGGATGTCAGAATGTTATGTTTGTCTAGCCTGCAGTGGGGTACTCTATAGTGAGTACAACCCAAACTAGGGTTTCCTATATGTATCCTACCTACTGCTAGTGCAAAACCCTCTTTGCCTGTTTCTCGTTTTCGCCTACTATCTTGACATGCTATCAGAGCAGGTCGACCCTCCTGGGTCGATCCTGTGGGTGGGCCCACCCGATGCTTCCGCTGCTGTTCTGCTTCTCGCGAGCCTAGGGCGCGTGACGTTTTCAGCCTGCCGCGTTTTTAGGGTTTCTACGATTTTTTGCTCGCCGCGCGCTCCGAAAGCTCGGCGGTTTTCTGCCCGCTGTGCGCCCCGAGGCGCGCGGCGGTTTCCCACCGTCGAAGCGCCCCCCGTCGCCCGTCGAAGCCCCCCCCCCCCCCGTCGCCCGTCGAAGCGCCCCCGTCGCCCGTCGAAACGCCCCCGTCGCCCGTCGAAGCGCCCCTGGGCCCCGCGCGGGCCGCGCACGGCCCGTACGACCTGCGCCAGGCCCGCGCGCGGCCCGTACGGCCTGCGCCAGGCCCGCGCGCGGCCCGTACGGGCTGCGCCAGGCCCGCGCGCGGCCCGTACAGCCCGCGCGCGGCCCGTACGGCCTGCGCCAGACCCGCGCGCGGCCCGTACGGGCTGCGCCAGGCCCGCGCGCGGCCCGTACGGGCTGCGCCAGGTCCGCGCGCGGCCCGGGCGGCCCGCGCGCGGTTCGTTCGACCTGCGCACGCCGTCCCCCGAGCTGCTGACCGCGCCCCACCCCTGCTGCTGCCCGCGCTCCTGTTTTAGGGTTTGGGGGTGGCGAGTATGGGGGTGATAGGTGTGTGCGCCGTCCCCTGCTCCTCCTCCTCCTCCGGCTCCCACTGCTGCAGCTGCCGCTGAGGGGGGTGGGTGTGTTGGAGCCGTCGGAGTGGTACTAGGGGGGTGGCGTGTGAGCAGTGCTAGAGGTACAGCAGAGGGTGTGTGAAAGGGTTTTGGGACAGCTGGAGGAAGTTGAGTGGAGGCAATCGTCTTGTCGTCCGCAGCGCCTGTAGTCCAGAAAACCACGACCCCCTGTGGCCTGAGTAGTCCGGGGCTCTGCGCCCGGTAGCCACAGTGTGAGCACTCCTGGTAGTCCAGAGAGCCACGACCCCCTGTGGCCTGAGTAGTCCGGGGCTCTGCGCCCGGTAGCCACAGTGTGAGCACTCCTGGGAGCACAGCGAGCCAGCTGCGCCTGTCGCCATGTAGTCCGGGTTTAGCCTGGTAGCGTCAGTGCTGCGCACTCCTGGTGCCCGTGTGTCTGCAGCTTCAGCCGTCGCCTCCCATCTTCTCGCCCCCACAGTTTTTCCTCCTCCTCACTTGCCCTCTGTGATAGTCTCTAGCTTTGCGTATCATTGTGAACTATTGCTATGCCTGCTTGTTGTGCTGATTATACCCCACTTTGACTATGGGGGTGTGTCAGAATGTTATGTTTGTCTAGCCTGCAGTGGGGTACTCTATAGTGAGTACAACCCAAACTAGGGTTTCCTATATGTATCCTACCTACTGCTAGTGCAAAACCCTCTTTGCCTGTTTCTCGTTTTCGCCTACTATCTTGACACGGGAGACACATGCAACACTATAGTAGTCACTACGACGTTTGGTGCCAGCTACCGTATCAGGCGCCAACGGCGGTGTGCCTGTGTGAATCTGCAAAGCTACGCAGCAGCCGTCTCAGCATGCGGGTGTTACCCCATTCAACCTCGGATGACGAACCGGCGAGAGGCGGACGAGAAGAAGCAAGCTGAGTGAGCCATGCAGGGAGCACCGCCTCTGCCTCCCCTGCTCTCAGGAAGCCAGGCGGCAGAGCGGATAACTGAGACAGATAGGGGAAAAAAGGGTGGGTTGGTACGAAGCAACGAGAGAGAGAGATGAACCAAGGGTTGAGAATGTGAGCCTCGCAGGGGAAACCGCTTATGCCTCCCCTGCCCTCAGGATGGATAGCTGGGTTGGGACAGGCACGGAAAAACAGGTGTAGATTGTTATCGAGAATTGCAAAAAACAATCGGAAGCCGTGTGGCAGGACGGATAGCTGGGACAGGCACGGGGAAACCGGTGTGGGGCGGCTCGAGGCGATGGATGGGGAATCAGGAATGTGCGTCAGGCTAAGGAATCACCTCTGCCTCTCCTGTCTTGAAAAGCTGGGCAGCGGAGGGGAGTGCACGACTGCACTGCTGCAAGATGTAAATGGGACACCGTCGATACAGCAAGACCCCATCCTCTTAAACCAACAACCAGCCACCCAGCCACCCAGCTACCCAGCCACCCAGCTACCCAGCTACCCAACCAGGGTCCCACCGTTGGCACAAGCCATTGGTGCCTTGGGGATAATGCTGCCTGCACCCGTGCAGGACCTCTGGACCTATTTGGGGCACACGTTGGCACAGCAAGTCCAGATCTTCTTTAAACCCCCAACCAGCCACCCAACCAGCCACCCAGTCAACAGCTCACCGCTGCCACAAGCCATTGGTGCATCGGTGCCAGTGCTGCCTGCACTGCCGCCGCCGCTGCTGCAGCACTTATTCGAGGCTTGTTTGACACGACACGACCCCATCATCTTACCCACCCAACCACACAAGCACCCAGCCACTCATCGCTTCTACAAGCCATTGGTGCATCGGTGCCAGTGCTGCCTGTACTGCCGCTTGTGCTGCTGCTGCTTCAGCTTCTGCTGACCCGGGTGTGCTTCCCTGTGAGTGAGGGACACCGCCTGCTCTAGTCAACCACCCACCCAGGCACCCAGCCACTCACCGCTGCCACGAGCCATTGGTGCATCGGGGCTAGTGCTGCCTGTACCGCTGCCGCTGCTGCTGCTGCTTCAGCTTCTGCTGACCCAGGCATGCTTCCCTGTGGCTGAGGGGAACCGCCTGCTCGAGCTGCACAGCAGCACACGTGGAAGAGTTGCTGCAGCAGACTCACACACTTGTGCACCTGACAGGGTGGGGGCCAGTGAGAGGAGAGATGGCAGGGTTGCAGGGAAGGGAGGAGGGTGCGAAGGAAACGAGGGCAGGCTTATACTGGTTGGGGGCTGGCCTGAGAATGAGAGAAACGAGTTTCAAGAATGCAATGATGACTAGCGAGGGAACATCAAAAGAGTTTAAAACCATTTTCCTGCGATTTTGCTGGAAGAGGTAACGGCAGTGGCAGCGGCAGTGGCAGTGGCAGTGGCAGTGGTAGTGGTAGTGGCAGTGGCAGTGGCAGTGGCAGTGGTAGTGGCAGTGGCAGTGGTAGCGGCAGTGGCAGAGGCAGTGGCAGTGGTAGTGGCACGTACCCGTGAAACAGCGCTTGGCCCCAGCAGGGCAGCAACAGGTGTGTGGGAGAGTAGAGTGCCGTGTGCCGTGCACAGCTGCACCAGGGGAGGCAACCCCACCCCCTGCTGTGCCTGTGGCTGTGACTGTGAGTGTGCCTGTAACGAGAGAGCCCCAGCCTGCTGTATCGCTGCTGTCATCAGGGCTGGTGCATGCGATGATATATGGGAGTTGGGGTGGTAATGAGGGGTGGAGGGGGGTTGGAATGGAAGTGATGAGAGGTGTGGGTGGCATCGTGGTAGTGACTAGAGGGGGAAGTGAGCGCAGCAGTGATTGTGACAATGAGCAGATGTGAATCACAATACTTCTCTACTTCCCCCCTAAGCCACCCCTCGTTTTCCACTAGAGCACCCCTAAAGCACCTCCCTAGAAGTGCCGGACTAAGCTAGAGCAGAAATTTGAAGTGCCAAGTAAAGCCCCTGAAATACTCAGTGGACGATCAAGGAACAAAGCGGGTCAATGGCCGATCAACGGTCTGTCGTAGAGCGAGGTGAAAGCTGAGGAGGCGGCGGAGGCCCCCTTGTGCTGCTCATTGAAACAGTGAGTCGTGGAGCGATAGAAGCGTGTGACTCATGATTCGACTCAGAAGTTTTGAGTCGACTCAAAACACGACTCAGAAGTTCTCCTTGAAATGGTGTGTTGCAGAGCGAGAGAGACACGTGACTGACCTGAGATGAAGGCGAAGGAGGAGGCTGAGACCCCCCTGTGTGCGGCTGTGCAGCCAGGAGCTGCGACTTGTAGCAGGTGGGAGAGCGGTGGGAGCACGGGTGACGAGGGGTCTGATGCCTGAAGGTAGGGAGGGATGGGGTTGGAAGGGCAGAGAGGAGCGAAGAAGAGAGGCAAGGGGAGGCTGAAGCGAGAAGCTGTGCTGAGAATTGCAGCAGATGTGAGAGTGGTGGGAGCACGGGTGACGATGGGTCTGACGCCTGGAGGTAGGGAGGGACGGGGTTGGAAAGGCAGAGCGGAGCAGCATGAGGAGGCTGAAGTGAGAAGCTGTGCTGCACCGTGCTGCCACTTGCAGGAGATGGAAGAGCGGTGGGAGAACGTTTGGGGATGGGTCTGACGCCGGCTTGCAGGGGAAGGGATGGGAGGGGGGGGGAGGAGGGGATTGATGTGGAGAGATGGAAGGGGGAAGCAGCCCCGTGCTGGCAATTCAGGGGAAGGATGAGGGAGGGAGGGGCGAGGAAAGGAGCAAATTGCAGTGGGAGATGCTCTGAGACCTCTGGGAGAGAGAGGGGAAGCCGACAGAGCTTTGCCGGCTTGGTGACCTTGAGAGGGGAGATGCTTCCTTCTCTGGGGAAGGGATTGGCTCACCAGGAGAGTGGGAGGCACGTGGCCAAGCAGAAACGTTGCAAAGTGCAGCAGAGCTTCAGTAAGCTCTGGTTGCTGCTCTGCTCCCTTGGGGCCCTTGAGTGCCACGCTGGCAGGTGCTGACACGAAGGACATCAGCGCTGACGTGGCGCGGGCCGTGCTGAGCTGGAGCTGATCCGTGGAGGTGGGCGGTTGCGGTTGGAGGGAGAGGAGGGTTTCGGTGGTCCGGAGGATGGGCGGGCAGGCGGAGAGGGAGAGGGGGGCGGGTGGTGGGCCGGATGCAGAGAAGGCGGATTGGAGAGAGGTGAGAGCGGAGTCGGTGCAGGGGAGGAAGGATGGACCTGGTGGGATGGGGTGGGATAGGATGGGACGGGGAAGGGAAGGAAAGAGGGACGGATTGAGCAACGGAGGGAGGTGAGCCAGCAGCAGAGATGGCGGATTGGAGGGAGGTGAGGGCAGGGTCAATGCAGGGGAGGAAGGATGGGCCTGTCGGGATGGGATGGGGTGTGGTAGGGAAGGAAGGAGTTAGAGACGGTTTGAACAAGGGGACTTTTGAGTCGACTCAAAAGTCAGCTCGGGATGGGACGGGGTGTGGTAGGGAAGGAAGGGGTTAGAGACGGTTTGAACAAGGGGGAAGGTGCAGAGCTGGTGGAATGGAGATACAGGGCACGGTAAATGCAGGGGATCGGAGAGAGGTTAGGGCGGGATGGATGCAGGGGAGGAAGGTTGGACCTGGTGGGGCGGAATTGGTGAGGAAGATTGCATGAGAGTGCGGATCACCTGAGAGTGCAGATCACCTGAGAGCGTGGCGAGTGGAGCGAGGCAGCGGGTTGCAGCAGCCACCGCAGTGGTTAAGGCATGGGATGGAGTGGATGTGGATGCATTGTGTGGAAATGTGTTTTGAGTCGACTCAAAACGAGTGGATGTGGATGCAGTGTGTGGAAATGTGGCTGATGTGCGTGGGGCGAGCCGTGGCTCACCTGAGAGCGTGGCGAGTGGAGCGAGGCAGTGGGCGGCAGCAGCCACCGCAGTGGTCAGGGCATCACGGTCGAGAGTGGGGGAAGAAGAAGAGGAGGGGAGGGGGAGGAGGAACTGCAGATGCGGCCAGCATGCGGACAGCAGGAACGATTGGATCCCCCCATGTGTCTCCCCTGGTTGTGGCAATTGCGGATCTGGTGATTGCATTTGGTGTGACTGTAGCGAGGGGGGCAACTGCTGCAGGTACTGTGGCAGCTGGGGGTCCTGCCTCTGGACCTCGGGTGATGGTAGGTGAATGGGCTCCAAGAGAATGGTCAGCCTGGAGGGGGAAAAGAAGATAGTTTGGGGAGCTTCTGGAACAATACGTGTGTGGTGTTGGTGCAGGAGGCAAAACAGGAGTCGAAACCGAACAGAAGGTGCAACAGAAGGTGAACAGGAACTAGATCCGCAAGTTTGCGCCTTCGCATTGCCTCCCATTGTTGGATGGAGTGGAAATGCCTCACCTGGTGAAGGAAGCAGCAGCCTCACAGCAGCTCTTGTTGGTCAGTTGTTGCTACGAGGGGTGGGGCCGGGGGGTTTGTGCGGGGGATGAAAGCAGGGACAACAGGATCGTTGAAAAAAGAAATGAAATGAAAAGAAAAATATTCAAAACAATGAATTGGGATGGCTGGTGCATTGAGAGTCCCTTTCACACATGTCAGTCAGCACAGCTCATTTGTGGAGCTATGTTCCTCTGTTTGGTGCTGGAAGCCCTGTTGTGTTGGGATCAACCTTCGAATTTAGAATAGCAGGTGAATTACCTACCGAGAATGTGTGCAGAGCTGCGAGCACGGGGTGCAGAAGGCGCTGCAGTGCCAGCAGCAGGTGGGTTCAGTGTGAAATCAAGTTATAACTTACCGCGGAGAAGGCGTGCAGGGTTGCAAGGATGGGTTGCAGAAGGCGCTGCAGTGCGAGCAGCAGGTGGGACGGCGGCAGGGAGGAGACAGCGGAGGCCACTGCTGTGATCACGTCAGCCTCCTGCTTCGGCTGTAGCCGCGCCAGGTGTAGGCTCTGCACGGGGTGGGGGGAGGAGGTGGAGGGAAGAGGTCGAGAGAGGAGGTGGAGGGAGGAGGTCGAGAGAGGAGGTGGAGGGAGGAGGTCGAGAGAGGAGGTGGAGGGAGGAGGTGGAGGGAAGAGGTGGAGGGAGGATGTGTAGGTAGAAGGTAGAGGGAGAGGGAATAATGGAGTCGTGGGGGACCCGGAGGGACGGAGAAAGAGAGACTGAGCAATAGAGTGCGTAGTTGTTCCCTTCCCTCCTAGCGAGAAAGAACTTTTGGAGTGTCATTGCACAGTGAAAAAGGGCAGAGGCAGGTGGATTCATGGTGGTGGTGAGGTATGCCTCCCTTCGCCCACTGCCCACTCTCACCCACTCTCACCCACTCTCACCCACTCTCACCCACCTCACCCACCGTTGCACCCTCACCTCGCCCACAGCCACCAGCTGCGCCGCCAAGCCCTCGTTCACAGACGCTGATGCAGCAGCAGCTGCAGCAGCAGCAGGTGGTGAATCATCGGAATTGTGTGCCTCACACAGGGCGCAGAGCGCAGCAGCACACACAAAAGCAATGGGTTCATACGCTACACGCTCACCTCGCCCACAGCCACCAGCTGTGCCGCCAAGCCTTCATTCAGCGACGCTGATGCAGCAGCAGCAGCAGCAGCAGCAGCAGGTGGTGTATCATCGGAATTGTGCGTCTCACAGAGGGCGCAGAGAGCAGCAGCACATGCAGACGTGGCCTGCTCGCTCGCTGCTGCTGCTGCTGCTGCTGCCGCTTCTCCTGCTGCCACTCGCAGGCGTGGGCGTGGCTCCTGCCGGGCCTGCTTGCTGCGATGTGGGGGGCAGCAGCCCCTGCGAGAGGGATTGCCTGGAAGAGGGGAGTGGCCGGGAAGGGAAAGAAGGTGTATTACCAGGTGCCTCACAAGCAGCAGCTACTGCCTGGCACTGGGGAGAAAGGGGGCATGGCGAGAGGGTTGACGAGGGAGAGGGTTGACAAAGGAGAGGGTTGACGAGGGAGAGGGTTGACGAGGGAGAGGGTTGACGAGGGAGAGGGTTGACGAGGGAGAGGGTTGATGAGGGAGAGGGTTGACGAGAGAGAGGGTTGTGCGGGCAGGAGAAACAGATGTGCATTGGAAAATCAAAGGAGGCAGGGCTGTGGAGATTGGAAGGAGGGAAGAAAGATGAACCTGAGGAAGAAGGGGAAATTATGAGAAACGAAGGGATGGGATGTGATGAGAAGGGGAGGATATGGGAAGAGAAGGTAAGGGAAGAGAGGCGAAAGGAGGATACGGGAAGGGAAGGGAAGAGAGGGACGTACAGCAAGGCAGGAACGATGGGCGGAACGCGAGGGAGGAAGGAGAGATACGCCAACGCATTGGCTGCTACTGCTCGATGCACCTGGTAAGGAGTATGTATGATGAGGCGATGACATGGGGCGATAGTATGGGGGCATGTCATGAAAAGGTGGGGCTGGGACATGTGATGTGGGCACTTGATACTGGGATGTGATGGGGCCATGGCTCTATGTGCGTCCCATTTACTAATGACAGCAGCATGGATGTATGGACAGCTAGGGAGATGCAGCAGGGTTTAGGGTTGTGGGTGGCAGTGGTACTGTTGGCAGCGGAAATTGCTGACTTGTGAAACACTTATTCCTGTGGCACCACTCCCGTATTGTTGTCTTTTTTCCACCGCTCACCCACGGTTGTAACCGGGGAGGAACGGCCGACTGGGATGCTGTAGCAACAGCAGCAGCGACGGCAGCCACTGCTGTGAGCACCTGACACGCCCATGCCACGTCCTCCGGCCTATCAGAATCCGCCACCTGGCCAACCTGCAATCGGCATTCACAGAAACAGCATATGCAGCGCACACACTCGTATGCTTGAGAGGCGTCGAATCCCAACATGAACGCAATAGTACCCTGGCTTAGGATTCTGGCACAGCACATGGAGCAACACGGGTTGCGATCTGCCGCACACACACTCACAGCTCGATGTGCCACTCACTCACTCATTCACTCACTCACTCACTCACTCACTCACTCACTCACTGCAGCTAGATCTGCCACTCACGGCCTGCGAGGCGAAGAGCTGGAGCTCCAGTGCCGGAGCGTCAGCAAGCAGTTGGTGGGGTTGGGGCGGCGGAGAGGCAAGCAAAATCGGTGCCGACTGCAGGCCACAGAGGAGGGACGGGAGGGATGGGAAGGGGTGGGAGGGACCATGGGTGCGGGCAAGCTGACTTTTGATTCGTGTGACTTTTGAGTCGACTCAAAAGTCACCTGGGTGCGGGCAAGCTGACTTTTGATTCGTCTAAGAAGGAACTTGGGTGGGGAAACGGAGAGGCAAGCCGGATTGGTTCCGCCTGCAGGTCAGACAGCAGTGATGAGTGAAGCCATGGGTGTGGTGCGGGCAGCAAGGGAGGTGACATGGACGTGCTTGCTTGAAGGGGCCTCGTAGAGCCTGCAAATAGTTCACACACATCTTTCGCTGCAAAAACGTTGTCTCGCACGAATCAAATCACAGTACGCGAACAAATCGAATCACACTTCCACACACGAATCACCGGAACAATCGAACTGCACCTCCCACACAAATCAAAACCAGCAACACTAATACAGGAGAGGTAACTCACAGCCCCCACTGCCCCCATGATGCCCAACAACACTGCTCGTCGCCCCCACTGCTCTCTTCCAGCTGCTCCTAATGCGCCTCACGCCTCTTCCTAGAGTCCAGAGTAGAAATTGCTGCAGCCGCCGCTGCAGAGACGTTTTTTGAGTCGACTCAGAAAGCACACACGACGAATTGTATCAAGTCAGACACTCACACAGGAGAGGAAATTTGCTGCTCCCACTGCTCTCATGACGTCCACCAGTGTCTCCTCCAGCTGCTCCCGGTAGTCCTCTGCTGCTGCCTCTGCCTCATCCTCATCCTCCTCTTCCTCCTCCTGTTGCGCCCTGGTCATTCTGCTTCCTGGACTGGCTGTTCTGAGCTGAGACACGTGCCAAGGGAAGGGAGAATATATCATTTCTTTCTTTCTTTCTTTCATTCTTGAGATTATATATAGCCATCTGCCCTCTGCCATGCACCACCTGCCATGCACCACCTGCCATGCACCACCTGCCATGATAACCTACCTTGGCATGCGAGAGGCACAGGGGCAGGGCGGCTAGCAGAATGGCCTGCACGGCTGCTCCATCCTGGGGTGATAGAGCCGGCGACGAGGGTGATGACGGACTGAGACGGGAAGACACGAACTCACTCCAGCCTGACCTGGGAAAGGCAGGTATTAAGGCAGTGGGGAGGGGGAGGGGAGTGGATGAAGTGAGGTGGGTGGGGTTGATGCAAACAGGAGAGTTACAACTCGAAAAAAATGATTTTGAGAATTCTCAAAAACAATCTACAGCAGAAGGTCAGGAGGCGAGCCGCCGGGGATGGTGACCAGGGATGGTGCCGCCAGGGAACAGGCAGAGGGATGAGACGATGACTAAGTGGAAGCTGAGCAACACGACGTGCTCACCAGAGCGGCAGAAGAGAGATGGCGATTCGATGATCGGAGGAGCGGAAAGACGCACACCTGAGAGGGCGGGTTGGAGGGAGGGATGGAGTGGGGAAAAAAACGAGTGGAGATACAGAACTGCGGTCGATGCCAAGGGGTTGATGAGCGTGGTATCTAGGGAATGCGCGTATGACAAGGAGCGGATAAAGAATCTGCGGGGTTGAAGAGTGTGCGGCTAAGAGTGTGTGGTTAATAGTGGGTGGCTAAGAGGAACAAGGCAGCGGGAGGGAGCGAACCTTAAGGCTGCGGTGGCGAAGGGGTCGCGCAGGTGAGGCGAGAGCAGCATCTGCGCCGGGCCCTGTGGCATGATGGTGCACGTATGCAGACATGGTGCATATAAAAATATACTCACCGCCAGGCCAACATTGGCTATGGCAGACGCGAAAGCAGCCTCTCAAACTGCAAATGACTTCTCAGTAATGAGCCGACTTTGAGTCGTTGACTCAAAAAGCTACTCACCGCCAGGCCAACGTCAGCTATTGCCGACGCGAAAGCAGCCACCAGCCTCTCTCGCTCCTCCTCATCCACACTGCTCTTGCCAGAAGCACTGGAGAGTTGTGATGTAGGCAGAGCAGCAGTGGCGTTAGGGGGTGGCGAGGCGAGGGGAGGGAAGGCGTCGGGGTGGGTGGCGGCCGCTTGGGAGAAGGAGGAGAGGAGGCGGGGGGTGATGGCCGGGAGTAGGGACTGGAGGGAACCGGCGAGGAGGGGGCAAGGCAGTACAAGTAGGGGAGGGGGGGGACAAGAAGAGAGGCATGTGAGGGAATATGAGATGTCTATAAAGACCGCTGTTGGCTTGTTATCCGGAGAGTGCATTTTTATCAGAGGAAACGAAGCACATTGGCTGGTTGGTTGTACCGCGGTTGCGAGTTTTGAGGCATCTCAAACAAAACCCGCTGATCTGTATGTATGACCCCTCACCCACCCATTTCCCTCCCCTCCTCGCTCCATACCCTCACCTCACCGCGCCCCATGCCTCACCTCGTGGCGGCTGGCCATCTCGCCCACCACCTTGCCACCTCGCACAGACACGGCTCCTGGTGCATTGCCTGTCATGCAAGCCCATGCATACGCCCAAGCCCATATCTTGAGGCCCCTCAATACCCGCGAGCATTGAGGTGTATTTTGTGGCGCCTCAAAATGCTGCCACTTCGCACAAACAAGCCTCCTAGTGTGTTGCCTGTCACGTAAGCCCATGCATACGTCACCCCATATCCGTTCCCCTTGCCCATCCATCCTGCCCCATGCCTAACCTCGTGGCGGCTGGCCATCTCGCCCACCACCTTGCCACCTCGCACAGACACGGCTCCTGGTGCATTGCCTGTCATGCAAGTCCATGCATACGCCCAAGCCCATATCTTGAGGCCCCTCAATACCCGCGAGCATTGAGGTGTACTTTGTGGCGCCTCAAAATGCTGCCACTTCGCACAAACAAGCCTCCTAGTGTGTTGCCTGTCACGTAAGCCCATGCATACGTCACCCCATATCCGTTCCCCTTGCCCATCCATCCTGCCCCATGTCCTCACCTCGTGGCGGCTGGCCATCTCGCCCACCACCTCTGCTGCCACCTCGCACAGACTTGCCTCCTGATGCGTTGCATGCCATGGCATGGCATGTTGCATGGCATGGGATGATGCATGGCATGAGATGATGCATGGAATGGGACGATGCATGGAATGGGACGATGCATGGCATGGGACGATGCATGGCATGAGATGATGCATGGCATGAGATGATGCATGGCATGAGATGATGCATGGCATGAGATGATGCATGGCATGAGATATTTGCATGCAATAGGGATGGAAAGGGGTTTGAGGGAAAGAGACAGGAAGGAGTTCGAGATTGAAAAGCGGGGAACAAGCACACATGTGAAAGTGGAGGGAAGCACAGAGGGAAGCACAAGTCTACTAACTTGCACCGTATGTCCTTCCTTCATTTCTCCCTCTCTTCCCTCACCACCCCCCTTGTCTCTCCATCTCTCATTCATTTCCCGCTCCATGACGCCCACGTTTTCCCCTCCTTCCCTTCCTTCCTTCCTCCCCTCGCTCTTCTTGCACGTGCCGAGAAATCACATACCTGGAGGGAATCAGCAGCCAGCTCCACCAATGGCAGCACATGTGACTGCCACGTGTCAGCTGCTAACAGGTCCGTGAGGAAACCAATCCGCACCTTCACAAAAGCACAAGTGCTCAGGGAGACGACAATGGAAGAGGGGAAGAAGGACGATGGGGAGGAACCATGTCGAGGGGTGTTATTGAGAATTAAAAAAAAAAAACCCTGCGACAACAAGAAGGGCAAGTCGAAGTAGGGGAGGAACCAAGTTGAAGAAGGGGAGGGAGGGAGGGACGAGTGAGGTGAGGGGGCTGGTGTGGTGGGCAGGGTAGACATGGTCGTAGCCTGCCTGGCTGTACAGGCGTACTGAGCTGCCGGAGTGCGCAACTGATAAGTACTGAGCCAAGACAGACGCAATACATGCTTCAAGACATCGGTGAAGCTTTCAGTGTAAAGGGCAGCGCAATGAGTGCAGTGCACTGGTACATGCATACGTACATACGCACCCACGAGAGGAGGCACCGCAGGGTCTTGTGCAGCAGGCTGAGGGCGACAGAACGGTCCACTGCTGCTGCTGCTGGCGCTGCTGCTGATGGCGCTGTTTGGGACCGTGACAGTGCTGAGAGTGACAATGACGAAGCTTTCTGCAGCAGCGTGGCGACGAATTTGCTGTGGGACAGGATCTGCACGCCCAACAGCGGGGTTGGGGGGGAAGTTGGGACAACTTCTGAGTGAGGCGCCTCAGAAAAGCTTTCTGCAGCAGCATGGCCACGAATTTGCTGTGGGACAGGATTTACACGCCACGGGGGGAAGGCAGCGGGCGGGTAAAAGGGCAAGGGCCGGGCATGGGGGGCAAGGGAAAGGAAGAAGGGTTGAGACCGGTTTTGAAGAGTTTAGAACCCAAGGAGAAGGAAGGGGGGAGCGAGACAAGTAAGCACGATGCATGTTGGGAACTCATGAGACGGATAGAGGAGCCAGGAATCACACAGGCAGCAGGGGGGCAGGAAGGAGGCAGCAGTAGCAGCAGCAGCAGCAGCAGCAGCAGCAGCAGCAGCAGCAGCAGCAGCAGCAGCAGCAGCAGCAGCAGCAGCAGCAGCAGCAGCAGCAGCAGCAGCAGCAGCAGCAGCAGCAGCAGCAGCAGCAGCAGCAGCAGCAGCCCAAGGAGCACCAACATTTTGACTTCCGCATTTCGTTTTGCAGAGCATGCATTTCCGTTGTCCTTCATTATTGCACACTCTCCCCCCTTTTCCCCTCACCTCCATGCAGAAGAGGTGCTTGCGCTGCAGAGTTACCACCCCCGCAGACCACCACTGCTCGTCAGTGCACTCATCCCTCACCACCACTCTCCCCATAGTCCCCCACACGCTTCCCACCCCCACTCTCCCTCCCTTTTCCCCATCTCTCCTTCCTTCCCCCCACCTCCCCCCCTCCCCCTCACCTCCATGCAGAATACGTGTTTGCGCTGCAGAGTCACCACCCCCACAGACCACCGCTGCTCGTCCGTGCACTCATCCCCCACCGCCCCCAGTAGCTCCACCACCATCCCCCACGCGCCTCTCCCCCCCTACCCTCTCCTCCACTCACCTCCATGCAGAACACGTGCTTGCGCTGCAGAGTCACCACCCCAACGGACCACCGCTGCTCATCCGTGCACTCGTCCCCCACCGCCCCCAGTAGCTCCACCACTCCCCCCATCACCCCCCACACACTCCCCCCTCCGCCTTCCGCTGCTGATGTGGCAGCTTCCAGCCTGGCCTCCAGGTCAGCCGCAGTGCCCGGAGATTGGAGGAGAAGCGCTGAGATGGACGCGCAGATTTGAAGGAGAACCTGGGGGGCAAGGGGGAAGGGGGCGGGGGAAACGGCAGTGGGTGGGAAAGGGAGAGCGGGGGAACAAAAGGGTGGGGGGGATGGGGGAAGGGGGAGTGGCCACGATGTGGCCACCAGGTAATTATCCGAGGCTCATTCATGTGGAAACTGGGTGAATATTCTAAGTCGAATACCTGCTGGTGGTTACCTCATTCTGGTTATGCCGTGCTACTGATAACCTAATGCTGGTCACGTGATGCTGGTTACCTCATTCTGGTTACCTGATGCTGGTTGGAAACGCAGCAGAATGATTGGAAGAGGGAGAAGAGAGCAGATAGCAGTGCGGCTCGCGCTGACGAATCAAGAGCTGACAACTGTAGCTGAATCTTGGACCTTAGCGTTTGTGCGGCGAAGAGGATCAACGCATTGGCAGACGGCGACATTCCCTGTGGCGTCTGCGGGGAGGAGGAGGAGGATGCTAGTAGCGAGGCAGCACTAGCGAGGATGGAATGCGTGACCTGCCAAGCCTCCTGCGACTGCTGAAACGCGCCGAGCCACTGCCCAGCCGCGGGGTCGTTGGCCAATAGGAGGCGATCTAATGCTGCCTGAAGCTGCTCCTGCATCTGCTGCTGCGACGCCTGCGACACCTGCGACTGCTGCTGCGACATCTGCTGCTGTGTCTGCTGCTCCGCCATTATTTCGATAATGGCGGAGAGCGCTAATAATGGCGGAGAGCGCTACGGGGACAGGACGAAAGAGTAGTAGGGAGTGGAGCTTGCAGAACAACCGGAAGTAAATGTAACAAGGTGCTGTGCTGGAGTCTCCAGTAATAAATACCTCGTTGCAGATTCTGCTTCGCAGATGCTCTACACGTACACGCCAAGAGATTCCCAGACTGAATGTCAACCCATAAAGCTCTGAATGCAACGCACAGAAACGCGACAGGTAGGCGTGGGACCGCTCTGCACCGTATCGTATGGCGTGGGCTTGGTGATTGAACACACAGCAAAGCAGCTCGGCGGCGATATCAATGGATGTCTGACAGGCGAGCAATTTCGGCGATGATTTGGCGCGACAGCTTCGTTACCAGTCAATTCGATTGGAGCGGAAATTGAAAACACAAACAAAACATAACGTAGCGGCCTCTTCTAGACAACCAGTGCACAATTTCTTTACCCCAGACACTCAGCAACACTGCGCTTGCCAGGTAATATGGGACCGTTACGAGCAAGGACATCACTCATTTTATTCACAACACTTCAACCAATGATCTTCTTTGTGAATCTGCATGCCATCAGTTTTTATCCGACAGCACATCCCAACAGTCCACCTACGCGTGCCACATCTAGCGGTCATTTGATGCTCTTGAGAGCATCGAGCGGGATCGGACGGTCAGCAACGAATCCTGGGCGGATGAAGGCGTCAGGAGGAGCGGGCATTTCCCAGAAGTTGGTGAGCGACTTGGCTCTATCCACTCGTGCTGCCACTGCGTCCCATGACATCAGGTGCTGCAAGAACGCCTCCACATAAGCTGACCTGTTATCGGGATAATCTGAGAGGTATGCATGCTGGGAGAACACAGGAAGGCGGGAGGGAATGGATATGACAGGGCAGCGGCAAGAAGTAACTGAACAGAGTGTTTAAAGAGGATTTTAACGAAAACAAAACAAAACAAAAAACGGAAACAAGAAACAAAGCGTCACAGCTTCTCATGTATAGAGGTGCCAAAGGGAACTGATCAGAACTGTGCATAGCCCCACTGTCAACAACCAAGCGTATCAGCCACACCGAAGCAGCAGCGGGAGAGGCATTCAAAGCACCGTACCTCCCACAAGTCGAGCACTGCCAACGGCTGCAGGAGCGGACAGAACCGGCGACGGCGAATGGGGAAGTAGAAGATCGAACGAGTGAGAGGGGAATGGGAAACAGGGCATGGAAGAAAAGAGTGAGAGCACGAGTAAGACAGTGAAAATTTGGTGAGATCAGTTATCAAACACTCTTTACGAGTCATGAGTGCAGGTGGCAAAAGCAAGGCGCGACGACACAAACAGGGACGCTACACGTTCCACACGTAGCAGCAATCGCACAAAGCGAGTGTGCGACTCACAATGCGGTCAAAGACAAGCGGGTTGAAGGCGTTGACTGTCCTCTCCACGCGCAGATGTGCCACCTGCAGGCGATACGTGTTGGGCACTGGAGGAGAGAACACATACAGGAAATGGAGAGGGGTGTGGGGCCGAGCGTATTGTGAACACAAACACCGCGTTTGAACAGCTGTTCACATGTCAGGGTACAATTTACTTGGCAGGTCCTGAAACCAAACGTGAGAGCAGACGAGACGAAACAGGTCATCAAGAGAAACTCGACGTCATACCAAGCATGTGACCACTCAGAATAGAACAGCTGTCTTTACCATCCAGGAACGTATCATCCAAATCACGATGCATGCCTCTGAGTTTTCAGAAAACAGCTGCGTGCAACAAAAATCATTCACGATAGATGATCCCATCCATGCCCGTAACACCTCGGCTCGGCTCACCTCGCATGTCTGCCAGCCACTCCTCTGGAACAACCGTATCCACTTTGGCTGGGAGGAAAACAAGAGGAGGGGGTGGGGGAACGAGAGGAAGGAAGAAGGAAGACGGAACGGGGAGGAGAAACAAGAGAAAGGATGAACAGGAGAAGAAGAAAATGGTGTCTCGAAAAACCATTTTTGGGACGCCTCAAAATTATGTGCCAAGAAGCGACTGACGGCGTGGTTAGAACTGCAGCATAGACTATACAGCAACGGAAGGAATGAAAACGAATCCATAACAACCAAGAAGTGTGCAAGCAACTGCAATTGAGATTGAGAGTAAGAGTGAGGTCGAGCCATAGATTGAGACAATCAGCTCAATCTATCAGCTCATCGTGCCCAGCAGATCACATGAGAGCCACACGTATCCCGAACCAAATGACAAGGCGCACGCCTGTCTGAACTCCCTTTGGAACCCCTCCACCGACCCGAAGTCCCGCTCCACCAGCCGCAGCACCTCCCCCTCCGGCCTCTTCTGAGACACCTCAAATCTCACCTGACAGCCACACATATCCCGACCCGAACGACAAGGCGCATGCCTACCTGAACTCCCTGTGGAACCCCTCCACCGACCCAAAGTCGCGCTCCACCAGAGCATGTGAGCTTGTGAGGCATCCCAAAGCTTACCTGACAGCCAAACATAGCCCGAGCCGAACGACAGAGCACACGCCTGCCTGAACTCCCTGTGGAACCCCTCCACCGACCCAAAGTCGCGCTCCACCAGCTGCAGCACCTCCCCCTCCGGCCGGTTGCCCTCCTCCCTGCCCGCCGCCTCGTCTGCCGGCTGCAGTCCCGAGAAGAAGAACTCGTGATTCCACGCCTGTGGGGTGAGGGAGGTAGAGGAGAGAAGAGAAAATTGTGGGTGAGTTGGGGGGGAATGAAGGACGGAGGGCAGTCGCAGCACCTCCCCCTCCGGCCGATTGCCCTCCTCCCTGCCCTCCGTCTCATCTGCCGGCTGGAGGCCTGAGAAGAAGAACTCGTGATTCCACGCCTGTTACGGGAAGAGAGAAGATAATGTTGTGGATGAGTTGGTGGGCAGTGGAGTAGGAAGAGCAGCCGCAGCACCTCCCCCTCCGGCCGGTTCCCCTCCTCCCTGCCCGCCGCCTCATCTGCCGGCTGCAATCCCGAGAAGAAGAACTCGTGATTCCACGCCTGCACGTGGGGGGGAGAGGAGGTGGGAGTGGCCTGGGTAGAATTAGCAAGTGAGGTAGTCCACCACTGTAAGGGACGGAGAGGTGAGGAGAAAGTGGAGCGAGGAGGAAACGAAACGACGGGACAGTTGCAACCCCATGAGAAGCTTGTTTTACACACTGCCTCTCTGTGATCCCATCTCTAGACGCTTTCTGAAGACATCACTCGTTATAAGCACACCCTCGCATCTCGCCTCTCCCCTTTCCCCTCTCCCCCACCCCACCTCAGCAGCGAGGTTGAAGCAGGGCAAGGGTTTGCCCCCGTCATAAGCATCCCCCCCCCCCCCTCCCCTCTAACTTTTCCCCCCTCTCCTACCTCAGCAGCGAGGTTGAAGCAGGGCAGGGGGTTGCCCCCGTTATAAGCCACCTTCACCAGCTCCTCCAATGGCAGCCGCTTCAGCGCCAGGTCAGCGTCCAGCTGGCGGTTCAGCGCCGCCAGCTGGCGCCCGTGGTGCTCCGACCAATGGGCTTCCAGCGCAGTGCGTGAGATGTGTGGCTCTAAGGCGTCCTGCGTGGGGGAAGGAGGGGAAGCGCGGAGGGAGAAAGGGGGGAAGGATTGGAAACGGGGGTAAGGGGAGAGGGAGGAAAGAGTGGAGGAAGGAAAGGGAGAGGGGCCTTAGGGGGAAGAGCAGAGAGAGCGAAAAAGATGGAAAAGAGACACAAAGCCATAATAGGGAGTTTCCGTCACATGGAGAGCGTGCGAGGAACGTGTTGCCATGAAGCAGCTTGGAGAGGGGTTCAGGGTTTAATACCACAACTTCTGAGACAGTATTCTGGATTTTTTTCTCAAAAGTATTCTGTTGATCGAGTACAGGGGAATCCTTGAAGCATGTTTTGAAGCTTACAGCTCGCGACCTCAGGGGTTACTCAGCTTCAGATTCGTCTACCCGTTTAAAACCCGTGGGTCAAGAAGGCCAAAACTGCCTCATCCTTCCTAATGTTGGTTGGGTGTCCCAAAATCGCCTGTGCTAATTCCCAAATTCTATTACCTAGGCCAACATTTTCGACACTCCTATTGGCTCACAGGCAAATACCGTCCTAACTCCCAACCAACCTTCCTAAGCTTGAATAGCTTGGCCTGCGGGTTTTAAACCCAAAATTCGCCCCAGTGCGCAACTGTTCCACCCCAGACGTCCGCTCTGCCAGCACGCGGGTTGAGGGTTTAAGGGAAGGACGGAGCGCACCAGCTGGTATGGCAGCGGCGCTAGCTGGTGATCCCCCACGGCGCGCACCGCCAGTCCCCCCCGCCTTCGCGGCCCCCCTGCGGATGGTGGCGCTCTTCCGCGCACTGGTGTCCGCCCGGGGGTGATTCGCGCGCCGCTTATCCGCGCAAGGCCAGCCTGGCGGGATGCGGGGTGGGCGCGAAGGGGGGAAGAGGGGGATTTGGGGGGGAAGCGGGGCGACACGAAGAAGAGCTGGACTTTGAAGAGTGCAGCGGAGCGCGATCGTAGCAGCGACAATTCTCTCATTGTCGACTTGGTGCACTGCCGCCGAAACAAACTGACCGCGATCAATCTGACCACACGTAAAACGGATAACGAGACCCAAAATAACGGATAAGGAGTTCGCACAGCGAAGCAGCCGTACCTGAATGCGTTGTCGCACGCCCAGCTCGCTGCCCGCGTAACACGGCGCAACGGACGCTGACGTTCGTTGTTGGCTGAGTGTTGGTCTTGACAATGGCGGGGATGCGCATTGCATGGGTACGACGCGACTTATCGCGGCCATGACTAATAAGATCGATGGGGAATGGAGCCGCCCACAGGGAGAGACGTCAAAAGAGGGTGGTACTTGCGAGCCTCTAAAATAACTCGTTAAAAGAGCGCGAATTGCGTTAGCCGTAGACAGCGCCACAACAACCCCCTGTCCCTGCTAGGGCTTGAGCCCTCCCTGACCTTTGACGGAACTGGTTTTGGCGGGAATTTGAGGCTCGCGGGGAGAAGTGACGGTTTGGTTTGGTGCGAGTCAGGTTCACAAAGATGCAAGCGTGGCAGCCCCTGCCTTGTCTGCTCCCGCTGTAACCATAGTTCGTGCGGAAATTTGAGAGTTTCGCAATTGAACTTAGGGCGTGTAAAATCGGGAACTCCAAAAATTCGGCCACAATCCGTCGGGCCGTTTCTGCGAAAGTAACCAGTTTTGCGACGTTCGTTTCTCAAGTGGCGACAGTCATTAATTTCGCAGAAATTTTACGAATTTGATGGCTGTTTAGAATGTCGACAGGAAAACGACGCCGAGTCGACTCCAAAACGGCCAGGCAGTCGACACATTGTGCGACAGTCGCCTGCGACGTCGTACAGTTATGTCTAACGACAGAATTTGTGATCTCGTCAAATGAAAATTATCGTCGTCAACTGTGCGACCCCGTCGTACATTCTCAAGTACTGTAGTAACTGCAAATTTTACAATTTTTCTCGAACCGGCCTGCAAAGCGGCCACCAAAGTTGTAAAATCGCCAAAACTGTACATGGTGGCTGTAAAAGAGTCGACCGTGATTCGGCCACCTCGTCGTTGTTCGCGAAAAATATGACGACCATCTGGTCGTCGGAAACCCGGCCAGACCCCATTTTCAGAATTGCGCGGGGATTTTACACGCCCTTAGCGCGCCAATACTTCTGTCTCTGACTTGTTACACAGTACACTATTGTACATCGTGTATTTCGTAGTTCAACCAGCCACGACATTCCCTACGTTCTTTCTTGCTCAAGCGACATGCCCTATCACAGCTTGCCGGCCCAGGGCTTTTGGCATGAAATATGCCAGCCTTGCTGTCTCTCTCCCTCATTCCTTGCTCCGCTGAGCGTCAGGTTCCCCCCATTCTTAGCTTTTCTGCCAGTCGAAGGTTTGAGCTTCATTTTGAGTCACGCTATTTTGGAGGCATTGAAAAAACAACTCCTTTTATTGGTGTCGGTCTGTCATTTGAAATCCACGGCGGATCGCGTCACAACCCCGTGGATCCTGCCTGATCAGGCATTTTCCAGTCTGCGCTGATGGCCCTCCGATCCGTAGGTGCGCCGTCAAATGCGTTACTAGGCGATCTCGGCATTGCCCCCGCGCATTCGCGACGTTCGCGACATTCGCACCTCGAGAATGCCGTGTCGTTTATCTGTGGCCTTCCGACGCTGAGCGCCGGACACCCAATCAAGGGCCAGGCAATGAGATCACGACATAGCTCGCAGAGAAGCGGAATGCTGCCGATTCGCGCGCTCGACGCAGCTCAGCCGTTCGATTACGAGCATCAACAGGTGATTTGACTGGCGCATCGACGAGCAAAGAGTCGCCTCGATTATATTTTTGCTGACTCTCAACCCTCTTACCCCTGCTCCCTTTTCTCTCCCGTTATTTCTCCCTCTCCTCTCCCTAACGCGTTCCCGTCTCTCGCAACATCTTCCATTTTCCCCAACCTAACCCCATCTTCCCCATCTTTTACTTGAAAACCCGTCTCCCTTGTCCCGTGGCCTCTCCGCCAATCAGAAGCGGCGGCTGGAGGAGAAGGGCAGGTTGAAAATCGGCATTTTGGGGTTCGGGAATTTCGGGCAGTTTTTGGCGCGGCGATTCGCGCGCCACGGGCACCACCTGACAGCGTGGTCGCGGTCCGACTACTCGCAGGTCGCGAAGCAGATGGGCGTGCGCTTCTTCACGTGAGTGGGAAGCGGATGGTAATAATATAGTATGTACGGGTGGTGTGGTGAAGTTGAAGTGACCTCAAAAGGCAGGTGGCGAAGCACATGGGCGTGCGTGCGTTTCTTCACGTGAGTGCCGTGCGTGAGCAGAGCAGCGAGTTCGATTGCTACGCCACTGAGGTCATCAGCATGGCATCCTTGCATTGGGTTAGGTTCACCTACCTACCACGCACACCACCTACCGACCGACAGCGTTGTCGTGGTCTGACTACTCACAGGTGGCGAGGCAGATGGGCGTGCGCTTCTTCACGTGAGTGCCTGAGCGCATCGTTGGTTCTCCTAGCGCGCGCGTCTCTTTAGCGCATTCGATTGGCACGCAATGGTCAGCGCGGTGGCTGGTTCTCCTAGCACTCGCAAACGTGGTGCTCCTCTTCACGCCCATCATCTGCTGCTTCCACTTCTGCCACCCCCTTTCCTGTGCGCCCTCCTCTTCACTCCCAGCGATATGGACGATTTCTGAGAGTGAAGCATCCAGACGTGGTGCTCCTCTGCACGCCCGTCATCTCAAGCGACGCGCTGCTGCGCTCACTGCCACTGCAATCTCTCCCCACCCCTTCTGAATTGTTCCCCATCCATCCCAATACCCCACCAGCGATATGGACGATTTCTGTGAGGACCACCCAGACGTCGTCCTCCTCTGCACCTCCATCATTTCCAGCGACGGTCCTCTGCCTTCCACCTCTGTCCTCCCCTTTCCTCCTGTGTGCCATCCCCCCAGTGACATGGACGATTTCTGTGAGGACCATCCAGACGTGGTGCTGCTGTGCACGTCCATCATCTCCAGTGACGCCCTGCTGCGCTCGCTGCCGCTGCAGCGCCTCAAGAGGAACACGCTCTTCGTGGACGTGCTCTCCGTCAAGGTCTTCCCCAAGATGCTGCTGCTGCAGGTGCGATGTGTGATGGCTGCAGTGCAGTGCAGTGCAGTGCAGTGCGGTGACTGCGCTCGCTGCCGCTGCAGCGCCTCAAGAGGAACACACTCTTTGTGGACGTGCTGTCCCTCAAGGTCTTCCCCAAGGTGCTGCTGCTGCAGGTGCGCTGGCTCACTGGCTTCATTCAGTAATGGTGCATTGCAGTGCAATGCAGCTGCAGGTGCGCTCGCTGACTGCGCTCATGAAATGTGATGCGATGCAGTGCAGTGCAGTGCAGTGCAGTGCAATGCAATGGAATAACGATCTTCTCTGCCACGGTCCATTGAATCGAATCTAAGTTTTTTCTCTTCTGAGTCTGACATTCTCTGCTGCATGCACCCCAAGCTTGGTCCTCAGAGCAGCAAGCAAGGATTGCTCCTCCTCTCCTCCCAATCCAATCCACCACCCCCCGAGTTTGACATTCTCTGCACGCACCCCATGTTCGGCCCTGAGAGCGGCAAGGGGCCCTCTTCCTCCCATCACCTCCCATGTGCACGTTCTAGTCCTCCCTTCTCCACTCTCCTCCCACCACCACCAGGTCCTCCCCCCCGAGTTTGACATCCTGTGCACGCACCCCATGTTCGGCCCAGAGGGCAACAGAGGGCCTCTTTTCTAATCCTACCATCTCCAATCCACCTCCCTCGCAACACACCAGGTGCTGCCCCCCGAGTTTGACATTCTCTGTACGCACCCCATGTTCGGCCCGGAGAGCGGCAAGGGCTCCACCACTTCCCTCACTTTGACCCCACTCCCTTCCCATCACTCCCACTCCTGAGGAGTGACTCCTCCCCTGCACCCCAACGCACCAGGTGCTGCCCCCCGAGTTTGACATTCTCTGCACGCACCCCATGTTCGGCCCAGAGAGCGGCAAGGGCTCGTGGGAGGGGCTGTCGTTTGTGTTTGACCGCGTGCGCATCACCCCGGGGGGAAGGGCTGAGAAGGCCGACCGGTTCCTTCAGATATTCCACAATGAGGTGAGGAGCGGTAGAGGGGCGAGGAATGGGCTTGGGGCACAATGAGGGCTCGTGGGAGGGGCTGTCGTTTGTGTTTGACCACGTGCGCATCACGCCGGGGGGAGGGCTGAGAAGGCCGACCGGTTCCTTCAGCTCTTCCACAACGAGGTGAGGAGCGGTAAAGGGGCGAGGAATGGGCTTGGGGCACAATGAGGGCTCGTGGGAGGGGCTGTCGTTTGTGTTTGACCGCGTGCGCATCACGCCGGGGGGGAGGGCGGAAAAGGCTGACCGCTTCCTGAAGATATTCCATGCAGAGGTGAGGGGAGGCGGGAGGAAGAGGCGAGGGAAGGGGATTTGCGCTCGCCAATCGCTCGTGGGAGGGGCTCCCCATGTCTGCGTGCATCGGGGGTGTCGTATTGTGGAGATGATGTGTGAGCATGACAAGTACGCTGCCTGCCAGCATGCTGTTCCTCTTTTGAGACGTCTCAAAAGTCGTATGGTGGAGATGATGTGTGAGGAGGAGCATGAGACAAGTATGCTGCCTGCCAGCATGCTGTTCCTCTTTTGAGACGTCTCAAAAGTCGTATGGTGGAGATGATGTGCGAGGAGGAGCATGAGACAAGTATGCTGCCTGCCAGCATGCTGTTCCTCTTTTGAGACGTCTCAAAAGTCGTATGGTGGAGATGATGTGTGAGGAGGAGCATGAGACAAGTATGCTGCCTGCCAGCATGCTGTTCCTCTTTTGAGACGTCTCAAAAGTCGTATGGTGGAGATGATGTGTGAGGAGGAGCATGAGACAAGTATGCTGCCAGCACGCTGCTCCTCCCCGATCTCTCCGTCTCTCTGTCTCCTCATCTTCCATCTTCTCATTTCCCCATGCCCCCACCTCCTCATCTCTCCATCCCTCAGGGCTATCGCATGGTGGAGATGATGTGTGAGGAGCTTGACAAGTATGCTGCAGGCACACATTTCGTCTCCCATCTCCCCATGTCCCCATGTCCCCATCTCCCCATGTGCCCATCTCCCCATGTCCCCATCTCCCCATGTCCCCATCTCCCCATGTCCCCTTCTCCCCATGTCCCCATCTCCGTCTCTCCCCATTCCTCAGGGCTGTCGCATGGTGGAGATGACATGTGAGTAGCATGACAAGTATGCTGCCGGCACACAGTTCGTCACCTCACCCATCTCTGTCCCTCTGTCTCCCCTCTCCCCATGCCCTCATGCCATGCCACGATCTCCCCATACCGCAGGGCTGTCGCATGGTGGAGATGACATGTGAGGAGCATGACAAGTATGCAGCCGGCACCCCAGTCGTCACCTATCTCCCCATGTCCCCATCTCCCTCGTCTCTCCACACCCTCAGGGCTGTCGCATGGTGGAGATGACGTGTGAGGAGCATGACAAGTATGCAGCCGGCACACAGTTCGTCACCCACACTGTCGGCAGGTGAGGGGCCCGCACAACAGATTTGAGAATTCTCAAAAAGGGGCCTGCCCCAGATATCAATAGCAGCGATACTGACAGTAATATAGGATAACGATAATAGCAAAACTCATTCCGCTACTGTACTTGTCAACAATAAGCCCATTCTACTCTAACATTAGTTCCTTTCCTTTCTCCGCCGTTCCCCTCCCTTGTGTTGATATGCATGGACGCTTGAATGCATGTGTCAATACGCGTGGATCTTATGGAACCTGCATGGGTGCATGGGGTGCATGGGGTGCATGGGGTGCATGGGGTGCATGGGGTGCATGGGGTGCATGGGGTGCATGGGTGCACGGGGTTCATGGTGTGGCATGGGTGCATGGCGTGCATGGATGCATGTGTGACATCGCCATGGCATGCAGAGTGTTGGGCAAGCTAGGCCTGGAGAGTACACCCATTAACACCAAGGGCTACGAGACGCTTCTCAAACTGGTATGCATTCACTCACTCACATCCTGCTGCAGTCACATACCATGGGATGTGAGTGAGCCTGGCCACATGCTCAGCAAACGACACAACGTGAGTCTGCAGGGTATTTTTGAGAATTCTTAAAACTACCCCACTCGCTCACATCCTGCTGCAGTCACAGCCTGGCCACTTGCTCAGCATGCCAACATGTACAATCCACTACGCACGGCACAACATGTGTCTTGCCACTGCATGTTGAAGCATGCCCTTCCTTGCTGTCTTGTTCCCTGCATCGTGTCTGCTGCTTCTGCTGCCTTTCACAAGCCACCACGTGTGCCCTTTCACATCTCCATCACTTTCAGGTGGAGAACACGGCAGGTGACAGCTTTGACCTTTACTACGGGCTCTTCATGTACAACACAAATGCCACCGAGGAGGTAGGGTGCTAGTGTGGTGGACATGTATCGATCAAAGATTATTCTAAAGGCACCTCTACTATGGGCTCTTCGTGTACAACACAAATGCCAGAGAAAAGACACGAATGCCAGAGAAAAGACACGAATGCCAGAGAAAAGACACGAATACCAGAGAAAAGACACGAATGCCAGAGAAAAGACACAAATGCCAGAGAAAAGACACGAATGCCAGAGAAAAGATACGAATGCCAGAGAAAAGACATGAATGCCAGAGAAAAGATACGAATGCCAGAGAAAAGATACGAATGCCAGAGAAAAGACACGAATGCCAGAGAAAAGACATGAATGTCAGAGAAAAGACACGAAGGTCAGAGAAAAGACACAAATGCCAGAGAAAAGACACGTGCTAGTGTGGCAGAGAGACAGAAAAGACACGTGCTACTGTGGCAGAGAGACAGAAAAGACACGTGCTACTGTGGCAGAGAGACAGAAAAGACACGTGCTAGTGTGGCAGAGAGACAGAAAAGACACGTGCTACTGTGGCAGAGAGTCAGAAAAGACACGTGCTACTGTGGCAGAGAGACAGAAAAGACACGTGCTACTGTGGCAGAGAGACAGAAAAGACACGTGCTACTGTGGCAGAGAGACAGAAAAGACACGTGCTACTGTGGCAGAGAGACAGAAAAGACACGTGCTACTGTGGCAGAGAGACAGAAAAGACACGTGCTACTGTGGCAGAGAGACAGAAAAGACACGTGCTACTGTGGCAGAGAGACAGAAAAGACACGTGCTACTGTGGCAGAGAGACAGAAAAGACACGTGCTAGTGTGGCAGAGAGACAGAAAAGACACGTGCTAGTGTGGCAGAGAGACAGAAAAGATGTACCTTTCTCCCACTCCCATCTCTCCTCTTCCCTCTCTTTCCCCTCTACTGTCAACCCCTTCATCATGCTCCTCCCTTGTGCAGCTGCAACGTCTGGAGATGGCCTTTGATGCATTGAAGAAGCAGCTACTGGATCAGCTGCACGACGTGCTACTACTAAGCTTAGTTCTTCCATTTCCATCTCTCCTCTTCCCTTCTGATCCCCCTCACCCTCCCTCCCTGCAGCTGCAACGTCTGGAGATGGCCTTCGATGCATTGAAGAAGCAGCTACTGGATCAGCTGCATGACAAGCTGCGATTGCAGCTCTTCGGCATGCCCCCTTCCGCCACCGCCGTCCCTTCCTCCTCCCCTCCCTCCTCCTCCTCCTCCTCCTCCTCTTACTCCTCCTCTCACTCCTCTTCCTCTCGGGCCTCCTCTCCCTCCCCACTCACCTCCTCTGTGCCACGATCGCCCACGTCGGAACAAGCCCTTCCTACAACCGGCCGGCCGTCATTCCCACGACCCGCCTCTGCCACTGTAACACGAGGCGCTGGTAACCGCAGTAGCAGCGGTAACAGCAGCGGCAGCATCAGCAGCAGCAGTGGGTCTGAGTCAGAGGATGAAGAGTGGAGGCCTAAAAGGGCAGCACACAACCAAGTGTTTGTGGATCAGGAAGTGTCGGGAGGGGGTGCGACGGATGGTGCTTCTGCTGCGGTGTTTCCGTTTGGTTACACTACAGACGAGGGTGAAAGCAATGAGTGAAGAGGAGAGTGGTGGCAATGGTGATGGGAAGGTGGCATCGTCACGGGCACAGAGGAGATGAGAAACATTCAGGCAATGACGTGGAGTCAATATATATTAATTACTTGATTTGGAGGTTAAAACCGGAGGGTCAAGAAGGCCCAAATTGCCTCAACCTTCCCAACCTTGGTTGAGTTTGGCCCTCGCACCCAAAATCCTAGCCAATTGTGTTGCTCGCTCCAACCAAGCTTCCTAAGGTTAAAGTTCTTGGCCTGCGGGTTTTAAAAACAAGGATATTTTGCATCACCTTTGGTCAGGCATACCTTACTATTGTTGAAGAATGCCAGCTGAAGTGCTGAGCACATTTTTCTAGGGAAGATGTTCCTAATGCTGCTGCTTCTTGTTGAGCAATCACTGAGTTTTGTGTCGAGATGTATCGAAGCGCGTACGAATACCCCAGCGATGGAGAACCCAACTCGCGTTCGGAGTTCGATGTAAAACGGTTTTTTACGGTGCAGCATGGTGGGATACTGCACCAATACCCTATCACCAGCATAGTGGTTTTCTCAAGCGAACCGCCAGCAGTATTGCCATCTGCTGTATCGTGGCAAGTTGCTCCTAGTATCCTGGTCAGCTTTCTCTTCTCTCCTCTCCTCGCCACCGTCCTCCTTTCGCCTCGCCCTGCGTTGACCGCACGTCCACTCCTCCCTCAGCGAGTGTTTTGAGAGTCACTTCGAAATGTCTCCCTCACGTTCAACCCAGAAGTGAAAAACTCGAGTGCCCGCAATCGCCGTTCTTCGCGAAATACTTATTCCGAACCTTCCAATGTCATACGCGCTGTAGCTCTGGTCGTGTTAAGAGCTGGATCCACATGGATTCGCTCGATCTTAACATCCTTGTTGATATTCTCACTCGCGCGCGCCTCGAACCGTTGGATCTCTGCCGTCTATCGACGCTCGGTCGCAAATGGCGCGCCGCGTGCCGCGCACCGTCGCTCTGGCGCCGCGTGCGCGCGGACGGCGAGGCCGGCGGGAATCTGTACGGCGCGGGACTGGAGCAGATCGCGTCGCGGTGCGGAGAAACCGAGGAGATTAACATCACTCATCTGCACATCTTGGTATACCGAGGAACGAGAAATTGATTAAAACGTGTAGGGATGCGTCTTGTATCGCGTACATGGATGCATCTGCAAAGTGTAATCGTTGACCGTGGGTGTCATCATCAGCTGCAGTCGCTGCAGCTGCCTGTTCCTCCTCCATCTCTCCCCTCCCCACTTCCTCCCCATCACCCCTTTCCTCCCTTTTCCTCCCCAGAGGAGCGACCCAACCCCTGGCTGCGCCACGGGCTGGCGCTGCTGTTTCTGCTGCTGCCTGTTCTTTGTGCACTCCCTCTCCTCTCTCAATTCTTTTTTTCTCTCGCATGGCCGGCCGCCTGCCCACGCTCGTCTCTCATTTCGCGCCTTTCAATCCTCGCCCGCCCATCCCTCCCCTCCCCACGTCAGGAGCGACCCAACCCCTCGCTGCACCACGGGCTGGCGCTGCTGCTGCTGGAATGCCCGCACGCATGGCCGACCGCCTGCCCACCCTTGCCTCTCGTTCCGCGTCATTTCCTCCCCACCACCCCTCCCTTCTCCCAGGAGCGCCCCAACCCCTGGCTGCACCACGGGCTGGAGCTGCTGCTGGAAGGCACCAAGGGCGGGCTCAAGCGCCTCAGCCTTCAGTTCGAGTGGCAGGTGCGTGCTGGAGAAGATGTGTGTGGGGGAGGGAGGGTGTGGGGGAGGGAGGGCAACTAAAGGTGCGGAGGGCAACTAAAGGTGCAGCAGTGGACACTTCACAGCGTCCACTGCTGCTCCCCACCTGAGGTGCTCTCTCGTGCCCTGCTTCATCATTAACACGGCAAAAAAAAAAAAAATCTTTTCCTGCACGGCTTCTCTCTCCAGTTCTCCTGCACGGCTTCCCCCTCCAGTTCTCCTGCACACTCCACCAATTGATGGTGCTGCCATGGCTCTGCGCTTATGATCTGTCCCTGACTGCCCGGCACACTTCACTACACCACTCTGCACTCCTCTGCACCACGCTGCACTCAACCAAACCCCACCCCACCAGGTGCCCTTCACGGACCGGTTGCTGGGGGCGGTGGGGCGGCTGTGCCCTGCTCTTGAAGAGTTCACGTTGATAGCTGCTGACTACCTCGTCACAGAGACTGCTGTGAGTTGCGTTGAATTGAGTGGACTATTGAATTGACTTGAGTTGACTTGAGTCGACTTGGGTTGACTTGCGTTGACTTGCATTGACTTGAGTTGACTCTTGAATTGACCCTTAGGTGGAGATGTTCGCCATTACCTCGTCACAGAGACTGCTGTGAGTCCTTGGGGATGACTATAGGGAAGGTGCTTATGTGAAGGTAATAACAGCAGCGATTGACGAGTTATATTTTGTTTCAGTACGAACCACGTCTGACCCATACTTCTGAGCTGCCTCAAAAGCCTGCTGGGACTCATGGGCATTCTGATCAAAATCGACAAGAATGAGTTCCACAATCAGATTACTCTCTCGTTCCCCCTTCCCCCAAACCCCTGCTCACTACTCCGCAGGTTCCCACCCCCCATCCACTGCTTACTACACCTTCCAGTGTGTTGCTCTGCTGGTTCCTCCCCCGTGCTCCGCCCATCAGTTATTCTCACTCCCCTCGCTCCCCTCCTCCCAAATCATGCTCCCCAGGTGGCGGCCTTCTTGCAAGCCTGCCCCCAGGTCCACTCCTTCCGTTGCTACGCGCGCTCCTACAATCCCCTCCCTTATGCATGCCCCCCACTTTTTCCCGCCTTCCCCCAATCATGCTCTTCAGGTGGCGGCCTTCCTGCGAGCCTGCCCGCAGGTCCACACCTTCCACTGCTACGTGCGCTCTCCCATCCCCATCCACAGCCTGGGAGACAACCTGCTGTGGCAGGTGGGCGAGGGTCAGATAGGGTTGCTAGAGAGGTGTGTGGGTTGTGCATTGGTTTGGCCCTTGTCGTCTGGGCCTGCCGTTTGCACCATTTTTCTCATTATTATCATTTAGGAGTGTCAGAGGCTGCCTCATGCAGCTGGTGTGTGGCTGCTTGTGAATATAGATGGTTGTTGGCAAGAACGAGTGTGATATGTGTGAGAACGAGATGGCTTTTGCTATTTGTGGATTCACTGTCAGCCCTTTCTGATCATCTCCTGCATGTCATGTCATGTAATGTGATGCAGCGAACCTACATGTCATCTGCCGTCACCATCACGCATGTGATTTTCTGCCACCACCGTGTATGACATCTGCGATCATCCATCATACATGTAATCTGCGACCATCCACCATGCATGCCATCTGCGATCATCCACCATCCAACACATGACCCCATCAGGTGAACCGCAAGTGGCCACACCTCCAATCCCTGGCCATCAACGGCAACCACATCACGGAGAACGGTGTCTTTGCACTCGCCTCCTGCGCCCACTTGCGCTGGTTTTTAAGGATTGTCAAAAAGCATTTGCCACCATACACTACATGATCCCATCAGGTGAACCGCAAGTGGCCACACCTCCAATCCCTGGCCATCAACGGTAACCACATCACAGAGAACGGCGTCTTTGCACTCGCCTCCTGCGCCCACCTGCACTTTCTGTCCCTGCATGGCTACCCCAGGTGAGATGCATTACAGATTGCATCTGTGCTACACTGCCAATGTGTAGACAGCGTTCCCATCATCACAATCGCTGCATTTGTCGCTCTTCAAGACGTGTCACATTTGGTGTTTTTTATGTCATGATGTGTCATCTCATTGTGTCCTTGCCTTGTCATGCTGTTCAGGGCGTGTCATCTCATAGCATGTCATATGGTCCATATTGCTACATCGCACAATTCTTCCCTACACCGAATCACACCAACACATCTCGCACGCTCCTTCCCAACCACACTAACACATCTCTTTCCGATACAGGGGCATTTTCGAGCGAGCCAAAACAACGGCAGACGGTGATGCGGTCCTCTTCCCGGCCCTCTCCTCCCTTTCCTTCTCCTACAACCTCCCCACACCCGCTGAGCTTCGCCGGATCCTCCGCATGTGTCCCTTGCTCTCCCTTCTTGCACTGCACCCCTCCCCTCCTCCCCCTGAGGCCACACCTGGCAGCCCCAGCAGTGGGCTTGTGAGCAGTAGCAGAGGCATGCATGAAGCTGTGACCCTAGAGGGAGTGGTTGAGCAGGAGTGTAAGGGGGCTGTGAGTGTGACTATAGAGGAAGCGCCTGCTAAGAAGACTAGTTATGACTTGACTGCTGTGGCGCATGGCTTGGGCATCAAGGATTTGACCAAGTATTAACGAGCAATCAATGCTGCACTCTGTGCTTTGATGACAGATTGAGAGTGTTGTAATGTAAGCTGCAATTGACATTGTTGAGTACATTTTTTAATCTGTGACATTGTTGTGCAATCACCCCAACTGAAAGCCAGAAGGCACAATCAGGATTTCCATTCCATTCAGTATTGCCACACGTTTGTCATGTCAGGGATCCGTGCTCAATCCGTTTAGCCACCAGATTTTCCAAAGTAATCAGAGAGCAAGTAGGGAACACCGTCAGAGAGCAACAATCGGTGTGGTCTGGACCACCCCTAACATTCGGAGGTGCTGTTTCTTCCAGATTCATCGCTTCCCTCTTGTAGCAGCAGTTCCAAATCGGACACCGTCACAGAAGCATGGCTGGCAGTAGATTGCCGAGAGCGGTTGCTAACCGAATTGCGATCAAATCCAGAACCTCTAACAGAAGGTTGGGAAAGCAATTGCCTGCCAAGGTTCTTCGCCATCTCGTATTCCCGCTCGCTGTATATGCTACTCCTGTTGACGACAGTGCTGTTACGCGGCGAGTGTGTTGCAGAAGAATTTGGTTCTGCCTTGGTCATGACCTGGCTCGGCGAAGGAGCGCTAGGCTGACGGCTTAAGATGCTGGGTGATTTCATCTGATGTTTATTCGTGCCAGACAAACCCTGGTTAAACAGGCCATTCTGATAAACCGATCTGAAAGGTGGCCGGAGGTCGGGCGACGGTGCGGAGAAACGAGCAAGCGACTGCTGAGGGAAACTTTTGTGAAAAGCTTCAAACGTGCCGCCATGGTTATCGAAGACGTAAGATAGGGAGGGACAATGCTCCTCCACAAGTGGTTGAAGCAACTCGGTCACTGCAAAAGGCTAGTCGTCAACACGGCGTAAAACACATGATGGTCTGGTAATGTCAAAACACCCACCTGGAGGGACTCGAGAAGTATAATTATGAACGCTCACTCTCGGACTTCTCGACATGATCTGCAAAGAGATGGTGTTGTGCCTGGAATGACAACGAGACAGTGCACTTGTGATTCTAGTCGACAGTGCTCTTGTGAAGTGGAACGATTGCGGAGTGGGGTGGAGCTGGTATGTTGGACCAAGGGTTGCAATGGAAGACATGGGTGGAGATGGGTTGGAATTCAAAAGCACGAGAAAGTATTCAAATGTTGGAGGGAAACAGTGCATCCCCAACGGAGAACCCCGATATCGTTACACGTACATTTTTCATATTTTCCATTTGGTGTGACCGACCCCACAACACACCACGAAGTTGTGCCTCCGCAGCACCTGCTGCAATCTTTAGGGCAGCACCTCACACACCACTGCGTTGCCACGCAAGCCCCGCCCGTTCCTCGGGATGTACGCCAGATCCGTTGCCAGAAACGGGTGTGCAAATAGCGAGGGCCACTTCCAGTGTTCGTGCTTGAAACTTCTGTCCCGCACAGCCAAACCCTACGTGCGTGCTGACCACGAGAACAAGGAAACTATGAGGCTGGTTGGGCAGAAAGGGCAGTTTGGGGTTGGTTGAAGCAAAGCTCTGGGCCGACCTCTCACACACATGTGGTCACCATGTGCCCTTGATTTCTGCTCCACATCCACAAATTTGCAGGGAAATATATCACGGTGCGGTAGGGTCAGTGCGGTTTCCTTGATTCCTGCTTCCCTTGAAGTGCCTTGTGCGAGGTGCCTTGAGGGTGAAGTTGTTTTGTAGAAATCGTGGAGTGGAAGGTCGTTTCCCGTTAGCTTATGGCGTCTGTCGGTCCCGTCCAGGTGGAAAATGTTCCTGGCGGTCTCGCGACATCGTTGCCGCTAGTCCGTACGCTGGCTTCTTCCCCCATCTCGCACCTTTTGTTCTTTCACAAGGCGATTAAGGCCGAGTTGGACAAGCTGCACACCACTGCGTTGGCCTTAGAACGCGGCGGAAAGAAGGACACGCAGCTGCTGCTGGAACGCTATGAATTCCTTAGAATGGTCTATAAGTACCATAGCACGGCGGAAGACGAGGTACGCTGCACTTTAGACTTCTATACTGACGATTTATCAAGTAGGCATTGAGAAATTCCGCCAGCTTTCTAACTCCTCCGAATTTCTGTCTCAGGTGGTCTTTCCGGCGCTCGATTCCCGGGTTAAGAACGTCGCGCATGCGTACACGCTCGAGCATAAAGTGGAGAGCGACCTTTTCGACCAGCTCTCTGACCTCGTATCCAACTTAAGACGCGATGAGACCACGGAACGCAGTCTATTCAGCCAGCTTATATGCTGCACAGAGGCCTTGCTCACAGTGCTCGTGCAGCATTTGTCGAAAGAGGAGGAGCAGGTTAGTTGGTGTCGCAATTGTCGTTCTTCCAGTTGCCGTTCCGTCTCCCGAGGTATTGTTCGACCTCTTCTAGACAGCTCACACGGGTAACGGTCACTTGTTTGTCATTCAGGTGTTTCCGCTGCTGGTAGAGCATTTCGACGCGGTGGAGCAGGCGAATCTAGTCTGGCAGTTTCTGTGCAGCATGCCGATAAAGCTCATGGAGGATTGCCTCCCCTGGATGGCTTCGTATCTTACGGAAAAGGAGCAGGAACAAATGGTGGAGCACATGCATAAGATTGTCCCGCAAGAGGAGCTCCTGCAAGAGGTGAATGGGTGTCAAATTCAGCATACAAGCCGTCGTTTCCGCTAGCAATGTGTCATTCTGAGCTGTCTCATGTTTTTTCCTTCCTTTCAGGTGGTTTCTGGCTGGATGAGCCGAATGCATGGCGTGTTTCCGAAAATCCACGAGAGATGGACAGGATTGGTGAAGCCCAAGCTCTCAGGGAGTAAAATAACTCGTTCAAAGGGCTCACTCCAGAAAGCTACCACGGCCAAAAACAGGCATCCCATTGACGAGTTGTTGTATTGGCACAATGCAATCAGAAAGGAGCTGGAAGTTTTCAACAGAGAAGTGAAAGGCCTGGAGCTTGACACCTTCGACAGTCTTATCAGAAGATATCGGTTCCTCTCAGATATTTGCGTTTTTCACAGGTATAATTTTGCAAGCCTTTCATTTCACAGTTAGCATTACTTGCCTGACTATTTTCTCTTCTTTCCACGTTCAGGTCATTAGTCACTGGCTGACATGGTCTTATTGGTTCACCCTGTTGTGCTTCACTCCGTTTATCACTGCAGCACAGCAGAGGACCAGGTGGTGTTCCCTGCGCTTTCACAGCATGTAGACCTTCCGACACGCTATGTACAGGCCCATGCAAACGAAGAGAAGCTCTTTGCTGCAGTAGGGCATCTGCTGGACGAGGTTCGCCATGTGATGGAGCACAGTCCCAGCGCTGCCGAGCCTCTGCTTGCAGAGCTGAAGAAACAAGCACTGACCATTGTGGAGTCACTGGACCAGCACTTGCAAGCCGAAGAGGATGATGTGAGCTTGCAAATGCATTTTTTTCCTTTTCCCGTTCCAATATGAGAGTGACATATCACATCGAAGAAACTATTGCAGCGTGTTGGCCTTTCGTCTATTGTTTTGACTTGGTTTGTTCTTCTTTTTCTTCTTCTTCTATGAATTTCCTGTGCAGGTTTTCCCTCTGTTGCGGCAGCACTGCAGTCTGGATGAGCAGCGGCAGCTTGTCTACCGGTGCTTGCTGGTCATGCCTCTGCGGCTGCTGGAGCGTGTGCTTCCCTGGGTCATGACGTTCGTCACAAAGGAGGAGGCCACAGAAATTGTCGAGAACATGAAGCTTGCAGGTAAAAGTTCGTTTTTTCAGGGGAGGAGGAGTTTGCCTATGGATATACCATGTATTGAAAGCTCTTGTTAGAAGGTTCACATACAAAGAAGCACATTGAGTCTTCTTCCCCTGATTTTTTCATTATTACTTTCTGTGCAGCTCCTGAGATGGATGTTCCTCTGGTCTCCTTGTTCACATCCTGGGCCAGTAAGCACCCACCCCAATCTGACGACACCACCATGACATCCCAAGCCTTAGATTCCAGCGTCTTTGACATTCCAAGACCATTTACAACAGCAAAATCAGGTGACCACTCAATACATTCAAGTGCATCCGCGGATGCAGCCTCACTGGAAGTGGGATCCCAGCGCACAGCAGGCAGTCCCAAGGACAGCGTCTCCACCCCTCCATCCAAGCGAGCCAGGCTCCTCAGCAACTCTTTCCAAAGCTTACCAGCAATTTTGATCAAACCCGAGCCTCCCCCTTCTATGCAGCTGTCTGTTCCCGAGCCTGGATCTCTGGGTTCCAAAGCGCTCAGCTTCTCAAGTGCAGCAGGCCGCGCCCTCACTCGCTCATCCGCCTCCAGAGGGGGGTTTCTCACAGGGGGTGTCCTGGGTCCCGGCATTTTCTCAAACGACCGGGGTAGCTCGTCGAGCCAGCGGCCCATAGACGCCATTTTCCACTTCCACCAGGCGCTTAGGAAGGACCTAGAATACCTCTCTGCTGAGTCAGCGCGGCTCGCCACGTGTGACGACGACGCCGCGCGGGATTTCAGCGGCCGGTTCCACTTCCTATGGGGGCTGTACCGCGCGCACAGCAATGCGGAGGACGAGATTGTGTTCCCGGCGCTGGAGGCGAAGGAGGCACTGCACAATGTGAGCCACTCGTACACGATCGACCACAAGCAGGAGGAGGAGCTCTTCGACGCCATCGCCGGCGTTCTGAACCAGCTCTCGGGTGTTATTTCTGCTATAAATAAAGCCAAGGGGGTGGCGACGAAAGCTGAGGAGAGCGGAGGGGAGGAGGAGCGGGAGGAGGCGAGGAAGCAGGTGAAGGAGCTGGAGGAGAGGAGGAGGGAGCTGGCGGAGCGGGTGCATAGGATGAGCCTGTCGGTGCGGCTGTGCCTGGACCAGCACATCTCCCGCGAGGAGCTGGAGCTGTGGCCGCTGTTTGGGATTCACTTCAGCATGGAGGAGCAGGATGCGATTGTGGGGCGCATCATTGGCACCACAGGCGCCGAGGTGCTGCAGGTATGTTGATGTTGCCTTGTGGGGCCTTGGTGGGTTACATGGAGCTGATGGGGTTGGAGGGCTGGATGGGGCGTGGGGTTGTGGAGTGACAGTGCGTGGCCTGTTGGGCGTGATGGGGCATGATGGGGCGTGATGGGTCTTGTTGGGGTGTTGTGGGGCGTGATGGGTCGTGGGATGTTTTTGGGGGTGGTCTTGGTAGTCTTTGTCCAGTGTTCCTCTCCGCAGCATGGATGAGTAGGACGACAGTGTGCACGTTTTTTGGTGGACGATGTTCATCACCTTGGCTCGTTCAAATGCATGTGTTAAGGGTAACCGTATGGGAGGCAGAGGGAAACAGGGGTATGGTGGGGTGAGGAAGGAAGAACAAAAAAGGGAGGTCTGACACAGTTGCGCGCAATTATCCACGCTTCCCTTTCCCTCTCAGGCCATGCTGACGTGGATCACAGCAGCCATCTCAGACGAGGAGCAGGCACGGATGGTGGACACGTGGCGCAAGGCGTCCCGCAACACCATGTTCGACCAATGGCTGAGCGCCTGGTGGAAGTCCCCTGCTGGCACGTCCAACCCGCTGCCGCCCTCCCCGGGGCGCCAAGGCCACGCTAGGGACGATCTGGCTGACAGCCTCTCCTCTGACGCGCTGCAGATGGTGGCTGAGTATTTGGAGAGTGATGGGTCACGGCGAGCAGCAGGGGCAAAGGCAGCAGAGCATGGAGATGCAGTAGCGGCGACGCGTGTTGACACATCCTGTGCGGATGGCGCTGTGGACGCTGTTGGTGGTGCAACTGCTGGTGGTGCTGGTGCTGGTTGTGATGGTGGTGGGTGTGGGCATGGCCATGCGGAAGGGACGGCATCTGACAGGGAGGGTACGGGCGGAGAGGGGTGTTCTGCGCCAGGAGAATGTGGTGATGTGCGTACGGGGAACGATGCTGTGAGAGGGGAAGACGGTAGTGGAAGTGGTGGTGGTGGAAGTGGAGGAGGGGGGGTTGGAGACAGTGGCGGTGGAGGGAGTGGGGGTGGAGGGAGTGAGGGTGGAGGGAGTGGGGCGCAGGGCAAGGAGGTGGAGAAGGACAAGAGGACGTTTCGGCCGGGGTGGCACAACATATTCCGCATGAACCAGAAGGAGCTGGAGGCTGCCATCCGCCGCGTCTCCAGTGACTCCTCACTGGACCCCAGGAGGAAGGCGTACCTCATGCAGAACCTCATGACCAGGTCCGTCCGCCCGTCTGTCCATCCATGTGTGCTGTGGTGCTGCCTGTTGCCTTCTCCCTGCTGCCTGCTGCCCGCTGCATGCGAGTTGCTGCATTTTATTTTGGGCTGGAATGCCCCCTCTCGAGTGTCAACGAGTCCCTGCTGCCTGCTGCATGCATCACCAGCCAAGCATCACAGTTTCACAGTCAAAGCATGTGTCTTCCCATGCCCCTACCGGGCTGTTTCTAACACATGCACCTGTTTGTGCAGCCGGTGGATTGTGGCGCAGCAGCAGCAGCACAAGTCGTCTCGTGACGCGCCCGAGGAGGAGGTGCTGTGCCCGTCGTACCACGACGAGGAGAAGGGCATCTACGGCTGCCAGCACTACCGCCGCAACTGCAAAGTGCGGGCCGTCTGCTGCGGCAAGCTCGTCTCCTGCCGCTTCTGCCACGACAGGGTCGCCGACCATGCCATGGACAGGTAAGACAAGGTCGCTGACTATGCCATGGACAGGTAAGACAAGGTCGCTGACTATGCCATGGACAGGTAAGACAAAGGTCGCCGACCATGCCATGGACAGGTAAGACAAGGTCGCCGACCATGCCATGGACAGATAAGACAAGGTTGCTGACCATGCCATGGACAGATAAGACAAGGTTGCCGACCATGCCATGGACAGGTAAGACAAGGTTGCCGACCATGCCATGGACATGTGCGTTCACAACAGGACCAGGTAGGCTATGGACAGGTAGGCTCGGATCGTGAAGAGACAAGGTTGCCTTCCACACCATTGACAAGCACAGAAAGCGACGAGGTTGCAGACTAGTTGGTGGGATGGGGCATTGAAAAGGGGCTGCCTAAAAGTTTATGGATGGACAAATGTGTGCATTCCTCCGTTATGGAACTTTCGTCGTTCATGCAGCTTAACCTCCTGCTTTGCCTTCTCTTTTCCACTCCTTTTCTCTCCTGTCCACTCCCTCCTATCCTAACCCACCAGGTACGCGGTGAAGGAGAAGATGTGCATGAAATGTCTCAAGGTGCAGACGGTGGGGGTTCAATCCAAGCAAGGTCTCTTGGCGCCCACCCCACATGCCTTACCCTCCCATGCCCATCCCTCATTTAACCCACCAGGCATGCGGTGAAGGAGATGATGTGCATGAAGTGTCTCAAGGTGCAGCCGGTGGGGCAGTACTGTGCCACGCCCTCCTGCAACGGCTACTCCATGGCCAAGCACTACTGCAGCATCTGCAAGCTCTTTGACGACGCCAGGTGAGCTTTGGGAGCATGGGGAGGACAATGGTATGCCAGCGGCTGCAAAATTACTCTTTCACCTGCAGTCATGTATGCACTCCTGTGCGTGCCCTTTCATACCACCCAAACCTTGCTGTTCACACGGCAGACAGTTCCGACTGGGTGTAGGACTGGCCATTACACCTGAAGCAATTGGAATGATGCTCGCTTTTCATGCATCAACTCGCATATGCATCCCCACTCCCGTTACTTCTCCCCACCGAACCCTCCTCCAAACCCTCCACCCAACCCCACCCCCAGGGACATCTACCACTGTCCGTTCTGCAACCTGTGCCGGGTGGGGCGGGGCCTGGGAATCGACTACTTCCACTGCATGACGTGCAACGCGTGCATGTCCGTGACACTCGCGCAGCACACGTGCCGGGAGAAGGGCCTCGAGTCCAACTGCCCCATCTGCCACGACTTCCTCTTCACCTCCTCCGCGCCCGTCAAGGCGCTGCCCTGCGGCCACTTCATGCACTCCGCGTGCTTCCAGGCGTACACCTGCGAGCACTACACCTGCCCCATCTGCTGCAAGTCTGTCGGAGACATGCGGGTAAGCCAGTGTGTGATTCTTGATGTGCTTTAAAGGTAGGCATTTCATGCACCTAGCGTGTTTTTCAAGCATATATTCGAGCACTACACCTCCCCCATCTGCTGCAAATCTGTCGGGGTCATGCAGGTATGCCAGTTTCAGTTGCGTGTAGTGCTTAAAAGGTAAGCTTTTTATGCACTCAGTGTGCCTGTTTGCTGACTTGCCGCCCTGTCACTTGCTCCTCTGCTGCTTCCAGGTGTACTTTGGAATGTTGGACGCGCTACTAGCAGCGGAGCAGCTTCCAGAGGAGTACCGCAACCGGCAGCAGGTGAGCCGTCATGCTCGTTCTTAGTGACTTTTGAGTCGACTCAAAAGCCACGTGGGTGCGCCATTGGTAAGGTGGACCGGCGTACTCCTTCTTGACTGATTATATTAAATCATCTGAACTCAGCTGTCTAGTTGGTCTTGCTTTCTTGTCTTTGTGATCACTCGCTGAATGGACACACGAATGGGCACCATCATTGCCAGCGGCACAACATGGTGCATATTGTGTCAGAACAGCAATGCCACAGCAAGTGTTATTCATGCCCCCTCTCCTCCGCATTCCTCCGTGTTCCCTCAGGCCATTCTCTGCAACGACTGCGAGGCCAAGGGAAACACACCTTTTCATTGGCTATACCACAAATGCTCTGCCTGCGGCTCGTACAACACCCGCACCATCTAGCCTGGATGGACACCGTTGACTCTGCTGTGTGCTGCTTGCTGCTAAATGTTCCGCATGCTCTTTGCTGGGTTGCATGATTCACTCATTGCAACCTGAGTCGGGGCTTTACAGAGATTTTGATATGTGTCTTAGGAAGCTGATGGCTTGTAATAATTAAAGAGCACTTAGGTGCTCTTGATTTGCTAGTCATTGGTGTTTTGAGTTTTTACAGGGTGAGATTTTTTGGTAAACAATGGAGCTGTGACTGTATAGACTCGTCATACAAGTGAAGGCCATGGCTGTTGGACTACCTTCCTCCCTTCACGCCATCACGAGGGTGACCCTCCCCATCCCTTGTGCTAATGCAAACAATGCTCCTTCACAACTACTAGTTACACAACATACCAAACACATCACACAGCCAACCATGCCCTAAAGGCCTTGCGTAATCCACATCCTGCATGAGTGCATCCATGACAAACAATGTGAATAATGTATTCCAGGCAGGGGAGAGCCTTGTAAAATATAGCTAACACCTCTTCCACTGCTGAGAATTCTACGCCACTGAGTTGCTCCGTGCAGAGAACTTCACCTCCTTGAAAGAGAGCACCTTAATAACTCCCCATGGCCTTTCGTTAATCTCCACCTCGTACTGGACGGGACTCCCAAGGTTCTCGGCAAGCAGGACCATTTTCCACTTGCGGCCAAGCACCGCTTGGCGGGCAGGCGCCACTTGGAACGATATGACGGTCACAAAGCGGAGCTTCTTGTTCTGGTGGAAGGCACACACATGGATGGTGGAGGGACAGACATGGATGGTGGAAGGCACACGCATGGATGGAGGAGGGACACATGGATGGTGGAAGGCACACACATGGATGGAGGAGGGACACATGGATGGTGGAAGGCACACACATGGATGGTGGAAGGCACACACATGGATGGTGGAAGGCACACACATGGATGGTGGAAGGCACACGCATGGATGGTGGAGGGACAGACATGGATGGTGGAAGGCACACTGGATGGTGGAAGGCACACACATGGATGGTGGAGGGACAGACATGGTGGTGGTGGGAACATAGAGGAGGGAGGACGAACAATGGATGAGTTGGAGGAAAGCTATTTGAAGCGTGTGTCGACGAGAGTGTGAGTGTATGTGTGGGTGGGTGTGGGTGTGTGTGGGAGGGAGAGAGGGAGAGGGAGAGGAGCGAGAGAGAGCAGGCGAGAGAGCGAGAGAGAGAGCGAGCGAGAGAGAGCGAGAGAGAGAGAGAGAGAGAGAGAGAGAGAGAGAGAGAGAGAGAGAGAGAGAGAGAGAGAGAGAGAGAGAGAGAGAAGAGAGAGAGAAGCGGGAGCGGGAAGGAGGAACAAAAGGACTAACACACGAGAGAGATGCGAGAGGGGGAAGGAACAAAAGGAGTAACACACGAGAAACGAACGAATGCAATTGGTCGTACCATCTTACTGTTGTACATTTCGACGGCGGACCTGGCCACCCTCAGCGCGTTTTTCTGCCTGAATGATGGTGGCCCCATCCCATAGGGCCAGCCTCCCGTGGGGCGCCCCCCACCTCCGCCTGCCTTCTTCGGACCTCCGTCTCCGCCTGCCATGACGGGCCGCCCGCCTCCGCCTCTCGTGATGGAACCCCCATCTGCGCTTCTCGCGGAGGGAAGCCAGCCTCCGCCTCCCGTGATGGGACCCCCATCAGGGGAAGATGCAGCGACTGGGTATGACGAGCAGAGCGAAACGACGACCACGACGACCGCAGCAACGGCGAACATAACGACGCGACCCATGTTGGTGTACGCTGAGTAGCAGTAGCAGGATCTCGCGGATGTAAAAGGTTGCTAACCTATACCACTCCGAAAAACTAGATTGTGAAACGTTGGAAGATGGTTCTTCCAACTAAACTGCCGATGCTTTATAGATTGCTGGTGCATCCTTGATGACAGGCGAGCCAAGCTATATGCGGGAACTGCGGCGGGCTTGGCTGCGAGAAAATCAGTTTGGAAGGAGCGTCAACACCTTAGCCAGCAAGAACACCGTGCCGCTTTTCGGCGACTATGTGAGCGAGCAAAAAGCCTGGTCGCAGAATTATTGACTGACAAATAGATAATCCATACAGGGTTCGAGGCGCAAAACCCGAAGCCATGTCAGAAAGAACCAGTCGCGAAGTTGTTCCCTGATCAACAACCGAAATCCACGGCGAGGAAGTCATTGATTGGATAATTGTACCAGCGAACTTCACTCCTGAGAAAGGGAAACGACAGTTGGCTAAACCAGGCATCCTCGTTATAGCCTTGTTCCTCCTTATCAGAAAGTATTCGACACTAGTTTTGCATTTTGTTTACATCGCACCTTTTGTTCTTTGACAAGGCGATAAAGGCCGAATTGGACAAGCTGCGGGACCCGGCATTGGCGGTAGAACCCGGCGGAAGGGACACGAAGCTGCTGCTGGAGCGCTATGAATTCCTTAGAATGGTCTATAAGTACCATAGCACGGCGTAAGTCGATGTACGCTGCACTTTAGACTGCTAGACTTACACCTTATCGAGTAGACTCTGAGACATTTCGACAACTTTCTGACACGTTCGATTGTCTGCTTCGGGTAGTTTGCCTGGCGCTCGATTCCCGTGTTAAGAACGTCGCTCACGCGTACACGCTCGAGCATAAAGTGGAGAGCGACCTTTTCGACCAGCTCTCCGACCTCGTGTCCAACTTAAGACGCGATGAAACCACGGAACGCAGCCTATTCAGCCAGCTTATCTGCTGCACAGAGGCCTTGCTCACAGTGCTCGTACGAGATTTGTCGAAAGAGGAGGAGCAGGTTAGTTGGTGTCGGTAGTAGTGGTTCCGTTCTTTTACTATTTGTCGTCCCGTCTCTCGAAGCTAATGTGCGAGTTCCTTCGCAGACAGCTCACGTGGGTAAAGGTCATTTGTTTGTCATTCAGGTGTTTCCGCTGCTGGTAGAGCATTTCGACGCGGTGGAGCAGGCGAATCTAGTCTGGCAGTTTCTGTGCAGCATGGCCAAGCACTCTGCCGCATCTGCAAGCTCTTTGACGACGCCAGGTGAGACCTGGTGGCCTTTGAGTCGATACAAGAGTCGCTTCCTGCAACGGCTACTCCACGGCCTAGCACTCTGCCGCATCTGCAAGCTCTTTGACGACGCCAGGTGAGACCTGGTGGCCTTTGAGTCGATACAAGAACGGCTACCTCCACGGCCTAGCACTCTGCCGCATCTGCAAGCTCTTTGACGACGCCAGGTGAGACCTGGGAGCATGAACAGGTGCTCAGCAGCGCGTGCAAAGGTTGTAATCTATCAGCAGTCGTGCCTTCACCACTCAGATTTCACGGATTACAGCCCAGAGGGTTTGACACGGAGGTAGGGCGGCCACCACGCCTGGAGCAACTGGCACAAAGTTACATGTCTATCCCCACTCACACCACCCCCCACCATCACCCCCAGCCCCCAATCACGTACCCGCAGGGGCATCTACCTCTGTCCGTTCTGCAACCTGAGCCGGGTGGGGCGGGGCCTGGGTCTGTTGGTGACATGCAAGTATGCCACTGTGTGATTCTTGATTGTGCTATAAAGGTAGGCATTTCATGCACGTGTTTCGAAGCATATATTTTTGCGAAGCGTGTATGAGAGGTTGAGTAATGCTGAACAATGGAGCTGTAACTACCGTGATTGGATAGATTATACAAGTGAAAGCCCGGGCTGTTGGGCTATCTCCCTTCCTCGTTACCCCACCCCGCTGTCATCGTCACTCCCCCTCTCCCCCCGCCCGACACCCTACCTGTCACTTGTTAATTCAAACAATGCTCCTTCACAACTACTTGTTACACAGCATACCAAACACATCACACAGCCAAACATGCCCTGAAAGCCTAGAATAATCCACATCCTGCATAAGTGCATCCATGATGTTCATTGTGAATAACGTGTTCGCAGCAGGGGAGAGCCTTGTAACTTGCAATAAACGCCTCCTCCGAAGCGGAGCATTCTGCACCGCTGGGTTGCTAGGTGCAGAGGAAGTCACCTTCTTGAAAGAATGCAGCTTGGTAACGCCCTCCCATGGCCTTTCGTAAATCTCCGCCTGGTATTCGGTAGTCAGCAGCGATCGGCCTATGTAGATGAGCAGGTTGATTCTCCACTTGCGGCCAGCCACCGCTTGGAACGATGCAGACGTGACGGACGCAAACTGGAGATACTTGTTCTGGTGGAAGGTGTGCATGGATGGTGGAAGGCGTGCATGGATGGTGGAAGGTGTGCATGGATGGTGGAAGGCGTGCATGGATGGTGGAAGGTGTGCATGGATGGTGGAAGGCGTGCATGGATGGTGGAAGGTGTGCATGGATGGTGGAAGGTGCGCATGGATGGTGGAGGGACAGACATGGCAGTGGTGAGAACATAGGGGAGGGAGGACGGACAATGGATGAGTCGGAAGAAAGCAGAATAGAGTGCGTGTCAACGTGAGTGTAAGTGTATGTGTGTGGGAGGGAGAGAGAGAGAGGGGAGGAGAGAGAGAAGGGGAGAGAGACAGGTTTTCAGAGAGAGGGAGGAGGGGGGGGGAGAGAGGGAGGGAGAGGAGGGAGGGAGGGAGGAGAGAGAGAGAGAGAGAGAGAGAGAGAGAGAGAGAGAGAGAGAGAGAGAGAGAGAGAGAGAGAGAGAGAGAGAGAGAGAGAGAGAGAGAGAGAGAGAGACTTATGCATTGAGTTTTACAGGCATGTTCTGGACCGTTCCCCTAAACAACACGTGAGAGATGCGAGATCTGGAAGGAACAAAAGGGGAAACGAACGAATTCACTTGGTCGTACCTTCTTACTGTTGTACGTTTTGACGGCGAACCTGGCCAGCTCCTGCACGTGTTTATCCGTGGCTGCGTCCGCCACGACGGACCAGCCTCCCGTAGGGCGCCCCCCATCTCCGCCTCCCGTCATGGGACCCCCGTCAGTGGAAGATGCAGCGACTGGATACGACGAGCAGAGCGAACCGACGACGACGACGACCGCAGCAACGGCGAGAATAACGACGCGACCCAT